ACCCTAAACGGGCTAGACTGCAGAAGGAATCGGCGATGCAGTTCTTGATCAGAACCCTACGCAAACACATTTGCTAAAACAACCGTGGGCCTCTACTAGACCCAAGAGTAACCTAGGAATAAAAAGGGTGCCCTGTTTGGTTTAAAGGGGCTTATAAGGGAACCTGAACCCTTAAAAAGGGAAGAAGGGCCTACTCCAGGTCCTAGTCTATGATTAAACCAATTAATATAGGGGCCTTAATGATCAGAAAAGGGTTTTGGGGCCCAGTATAGTATTTATAATCAGGAACCCCCAATGGTAAGACCAAAGACCCGTAGCATAGTACCCTTGCAGATCCCTTATCGTAACCCTAATAGGATGCTGTTTGAGAGCCTTTTGAAGCAGCCCTATTCCAATTATCAAGGCCCCAATATTAAACCGAGCCCAGGAGCAGCACATCAGCACCTCGTGATCCGCCGCCAAACTCCAGCGACAGCGCTGCATTGTAGCCCTCCGTGTACCTAAACCCGAAACCCTAGCAAGGAAACGCTGAACCCTAAACCCTGAACCTCCCTGAACCTAAACCCTAACCCCTAACCCTAAAACCCCTAAACCGGACAATTTTAGGGCTTAGGGGGGTTTGGGTATAGGGGTTTAGGGTTCAGGGTTTAGGTGTTTAGGGTGTTTTGGTGGCTTTTTGGCTTGGAGCTCTTAAGTCTTATCGTAAGGCTTGGAGCTCTTAAGTTTTATCTTGGAGCTCTCAAGTTTACTCAATCGCTCAACGGCCCCATGGTCGCCCCCAGGCGCTGGAAGCTCAGATCGGAGGTTCCTTTAATAGGGGAGTCCACGGTTTAGGGTTTAGGGTTTAGGGTTTAGTACCCTAAATAGTAGGATCCTCATATATTCCAAGGCCCCCAAAAGTAAGGTGCCAGTGCCCTAAATAGTAGGATCCTTATATATTCCAAGGCGCCCAAAACAAAAGTAGGGTGCCCCTAATGTTCGGAAACTCTCCCGCGTGGGTCTTAAGAATTGGGGGCTTGCCCTAAACCCAAGGTCGGGAAGGGCTGGCGGGCGGTCTATGCCATACCCTAAACCCTAAACCCTAAACATGGTATACAGTATAATTGCCCCAAAACCCTATTCTAATTATTAAGTAGCTTAAGATCCAGAGATATGTGGATGTTTCCAAAACTTAGGGGTACCTTGTTTTGGGGCCCTTGTAGCAAGGATCCTACGATTTAGGGTGCTATATTAGGGTCCCCTATTTTCGGAAACTCCCATGTGGGGAGACTGAGCCTCTCTATATGCTATTATTGAGGAATATCTGCGTGAGGAGCGCGTGTTCGGAGGAGTCTGAAAGACGATGTCAACGCTATAGTACACCCCGAAAAGTTGAAAACCGGATTAAGGCCAATTTAGTGCTGGGATTCCATATACATTACTCTTAAAAATTGAGGCTATTGGGTTTTCAACTTTTGGGCTTCTGCCATGGGTTCAGGGCTCAGGAGGGCAGAGATTGATAGCGAGGTCCCCGGGTCATCAATGAGATGGGTTGAGGGTTTAGGGTTTAGGGTTTCGGGTTTAGGGTTTAGGCTCAGATGGACCAAGGCGGACCAGGGTGCTGCGCAATGGTTGCGAAATGTGACAGCGTGTAGATTGAAACATCCATGGCATTTGCCATCCGGGCTTCTGGAAAATAGATCTCCCCCTTGGTTGCAGTTCGTTGGGGGGATCGGATAAGATGAAACCGCGAAAAGTAAAATGAACGTGCACTCACTCAGTTACTACCTTAGCCCACCAAACCCTAGTTTTTGTAGGTTCTTATTTTGAACCCTACTATGGAATTTGTAGGGGCCCTACAAAAAAGTATGGTTTTTCAGGTTGAGGTAAGGCTCCTGTCGGTCATCGGCAATCATTACATTCCCAGGCTCCACCTTAAAGCATTTCTCCGAGACCTGCCGAGTCGTAGCAGCGAGGAGCCTGTCATCCGTGAAGGACAGGCTGAAGAAGATCACCTTCCTGGGTAGGGCTCCTTTAAGGGATCTATAATAAGGGATCTACAAGGGATCTATAAGGGATCTACAAGGGATCTATAAGGGATCTACAGGTTGTACTGTAAGGCTTAAGGGTTTAGGGTACCTCCTTAGGACCACCAGGGAAATGAAAGAGAGTCCCAAAGCTCCAGCTAGCTTCTCTGCTATGCCCCGGATTTGCTGATAGATCACCGACGTACCCAGCACATCACATCCGCCTCCGCAGCCGGATAGAACGACGCGCTTCCCAGCCAGGCCATCCATGAAGGACTGCATCCTAAACCCTAACCTTAAACCCTAAACCCTAAGCCCTAAACCCCAAGCCCGAGACCTGCATGTGCTCTGGCGCAGAATAGACCAACTACACAAGGCTTGAAGGACAGAGCTGACTGTGGATCTCGGAAACTTTCAATTTTCAGATGTTGAGCAGCACATGTTGCGAACGACATACTATAGGGGCCTAAACAACTACCTGGACCATTTTGGGGGTTCCTTGTTCTAATTGCAATATAGTTCTCTAAGCATCCCTTATTAAAGCCCCTATAAACACTACCAGACTTCGCAATCCCACCCCACTAAAGCCGATGCAGCAGCAGGACACCTCCGGTAGAAGAAAGAAAGGATCGGGTGCATCTGAGATCCGAGAGTTAACGCGAAGAACGGGTAGACCAACTTGTGCAGAAGACTCCATGCCACTTAGGGTTTAGGGTTTAGGGTCCTAAACCCTGAACCCGTAAACCCTAAGCCTTCATCCCCCAAACCCTTTCCCTTTTCCTCGGACCTGGCCTGAGGCGTAGCAGCCCCTCAAAGCCTTGCAGAACTCCTCAACCCCAAACCCGAAACCCTGAACCCCAAATCCTAAACCCAAAACCCTAGCGTAAATCCTAAACCCAAAAACCTAAACCCCGAAATCCTGAACCCAACACCCTAAACCCGAAATTCTCAACCCCAAACCCTAAATCCTCAACCCTAACCAAAAATCCTAAACCCAAACGCCCTGAATCCTTCAAAGGTCGGAGACGTTTAGAGACGAGCGGTAAAATAAAGGCCGAAAGCTTGGTTAGGGTTTAGGGTTTCGGGGAGCAGCCCCAATTAGCATAGGTAGGGTTTCAGGTTCAGGATTTAGGGTATATTATAGTAGACTTATAGTCAGGAAATCTGAGGAGTAGCACCTGAACAATAGAATTCCCAAGCCGACAGCATGCATCCTCTACGCAAAAAGCACTCCCGGGGCTAGTAGAGATCTGGCAAGAAGGCTTAGGGTTTAGGCTTTCTTTGAGCGGTTCCCCTTGATTCCTTAATCGTCGGCATGTCCATCTTCAATCCTCGATCTTTCCAAAGTGTCCGGTACAGATGTTACAGCACAAAACGGGCTCATCCCGGTGCCTCGTGTGCTTTGGTTCTGCCTGTCTCAAACATGGTTCTTTACACGATCGCGATCCTTCTGCCTCGAAATCCTAGACAGCCACGCCTTAATAACTCAAAACCCTTAACTCCAAACCCCCAACCATACGACTGACAGCTTGTGCCCCCAGTCGCCAAAATTGCAACGTTTCGGAATCCGACCTGCATGTTGTCACCCGCCCGTCATTAGTGTGGACCCCTGACTGAAGCATGTCTTCTTGACACCTTTGTTCCTTCAGAAATCAGGTTGCAACCAACCCAACCCTAAACCCTAAGTTACTTACCAAGAGGAGATGCAATGCTGCTCTTCCAAGCATGTAGTGCATCAGCATCTGCTTAACCTAGCTGAACCTGCACCATCTACTGGTGCATCAAAACCGGCCGATTTAAGAAGTGCAGTGCATGCTGTTGCTTTAGTCCCCTCCTGCTTGTTGTATATGCTATAGACTCTACGTGGAGTGATTCCTGTTTGTGTCTTGCCACATGGTTGGGCCGTTGCTCTTCAACCTTTGTATCTTCTTAGTTGGTGCCGGGACCAGGAACAGTCTGCGAACGAACCCGTTGTTGTCCGGTACGAAGGCATCCAACGCTGCAGACTTTGCTTTCAGACATGTCTCGAACAGGCACGCCACCCTCTCCTGCACATGAGGCCATCTTATCGCCTCCCGGGCCACATGCACACTTCTACACGCAACAGTGAGACATAACGTAGGGTCTTCGTTTTGGCGCGAAGAAAAAGACTCCAAGTTGTAGCCGCTGCTTGACGCGCAGCATCGGGAAGTCTTTCCGATCTTCTGGAGGTTACTTGCATGGTGTTGCGAGCGGTTTCAACATTTTCAAAACAAAACAGTCCACCCTCAGCCTTCACAAGAGGATCAACAAGGTGCAGGATCCTACTTCTTGGCATCATAGGACATCCGTGCAGAAAACAAGCTCGTCTACAAAACGACATACCAACTTGCAAAGCACTATCATTCAACAAGATAACTATGCATGCATACATATACCGATATACGTATGCATAAATGTATACCTGTGTATATATATATATATACACACATATGTATGTATGTATATCTATACATATATATATATACATAGATATTTCTGTATAGTTGTGTGTGTGTGTGTGCCCGTAACCATAGAAAACTAGCGGGGCTCCAGGATTGAAAAACTCCCCGAGCAGCCTCTGACCCTGCACACCCGAACTTCTGGCAGGTGGCACAGATGTCCATTTCTTCGGTTCAGGGTTTAGGGTTCAGGGTTCAGGGTTTAGGGTTTATGGTTTGGGGCTTAGGGTCTAAGAGCGCAGGGTTGAGGGTTTAAGGTTGCGGGCGTAGGTTTCAGGGTTCCGGAGTTCATCGAGAGTCGAGCTCTCAGGTCTAACTTGGGAGGAGGCTGAGCTCCTTAGCATCACTTATAAAGATGCTAATGGGTTTGGGGTTTTGGGTTTAGGGTATGGCTATTGTGGCTGAAGCCCTGTCGACGGGAACGGCCATATGTGTTTCTGCTCTGACTATACTGACGATCTTGGCGGCATAAGCGATCAAACAAGTGTTCATACAAATGATATTACAAAGGGCCTCAAATGCACCCTAAACGGCCGCTGCAGCAGCCACTCCAACTGTACCAGGAGCGTTTCAGACTGCTCGTGCCACACGTGCGTCTTCTGTTGGCCGCTGATCTCGCATCTTCGAAGTCGCTGATGACGGCCGCGATGTGAATGAAGTTGTGCTCTGGCTTTAAGTGATCGAGATAGAGAATCTCAGATGCCAGCTTTTCCAGTTGAAACATGAAGAGGGTGGCCGTCTGCTCGCTGAGAGGCACCTTGTTCGCCCCTATTCGCTTCTTCAAATGCTCCGGCGTATAGAGGCCTTAGTTGCTGAGTTCATAAGCCCCCCCAAAAATGTACACTTTCAGTTTTATAGTGGATAGTCCCAAAAAGAGAAAAAAAGTGTATCCCCTCAGCGTCTAAGAGGCCCCTATGCCCTTCCATAGCTGCCACCACAAGGCTCTGGACGATGCCTGACTTCTCTAGCAGGGCTTCGGGTCTAGGGGTTAAGTTTAGGGTTCATATTTAGGAACTTTGGGGGTTAAGTTTAGGGTTTAGATTTATTTAGGAAACTTTAGGGGTTGGGCATGCTACGACGGTAACGGCGAACGACGAAAAGACTCGCAGCGATCGCAAATACCCACCCTTCCACCAGCACCACCAGCGCCACTACAACAGCAGCACCTCCTCCACAACGACTGACGACTGACGACTAACGACTAGGACTACCACTACTATTATTGTTACTACTACTAATAGTAGTAATAATAATAATAGTACTCGTACTAGAAATTGACTAGTACTAATACTAGTTTTAACATTTTTGTTTATTACTACTTGATCTTCTTCTGCAAACTTTCTGCCGTTGCTGTGAGTTGCTCCGAGTCGGACAACAGTGGCTCAGGAGGTCGGCGAAATAGGCCGCGGGTGCGTCCTCTGGCTTTCAGGGATCTTTAAAGAGAAAACTCTTGTGAGGGGCCTAAATAATGATAGGGTGTCTTTTAAGGGTTCCTTTAAAGGGGGGGTTCAGGGTTTAGGTTTTTAGGTTTAGGGCTTAGGGGTTCGGGTTTAGGGTTTAGGGTTTCGGATTTAGGAGTTGTATAGGCCTTTAAATTAAAAGAACCCTTAAACGGACCTTAAAGGAACCCTTAAGGGTTCTTTGTGGGCCCGTTCACGGTTCCTTTAAGGGCTCCTCAGAAGTTCTTCAACGGTTCTTTGTTGGGTTAAAGGTTTGGGTTCTGAGTTTCTATACCGGGTTCTACGAGCATTTCTATCAGAGTTCTTTAACGGCTCGTTCATGGTCTTAGTGCTTGTTGTGTTGCATAGGGTTTGGACTTTAACGGTTTGGGGTTTAGGGCTCTATGGGATTGGAGATTTATGCGTTTAGGGTCTGTAGGGTTTAGAGATTTGAGGCTTGAGAGGTTCTTGGGAGCTGAGGGCTTGCAGATTCTGGGGTGCCCGTAAACCCTCAACCCTAAACTCAGCAGGTCCACAACTTTGTGGCATTGAGGAGTTGTTTTGGCGCGAGTTCTCCAGGAGCAGCTAAAATTACTAACATAGGGGCCTTAATAATTGGAATAGTGTTTTGGGGCCCATGATACAGTAATTATATTACGGAACCCCCCCAAAAAAATAGTATTGGTATGTTTTTGATTTATGCCCCTAGATTATCGCCTGATGGGTCGCCTGCACACAGGTTCCCTCATGTACCTTCTACAAAAATCCACAAAGAGTATACCTGTGAATCAAACTCGGAGTTCAGGGTGGGGCCTCGGGGCGTTTACGGTACCCAAAGGGTCCAAGTACCGGTATAGTAGGTACTGAGTATACTAGATGCTATTAATTGTACCCTTTCGGGTGCCGGGGGGCTCCGAGTTGCAGAGTTTAAGAGTATAGGCATGGGCTTTTATGGGGCGAGGCTTAAGGTTTGTAGAGTAGGTCAGCGTGTGGGCTTCTAGAGGGGAAGGGTTCAGGGGTTTGGGGCTTAGGCTTTTTGGGAGAAGGGTTCAGGGTCTGTGCTGCGCCAGACCCAGTCCTGAATAGTCAAGGGCTTGCTGAAGATCATCCTCAGCTCATCAACGGTGAAGGGGCTTGGGAGTTGGATGTAGCCTTTAGGAGTGTTACCAGTAAACCTGTAAGAGAAGCTTGTGGGATTTAGCAGTCTCGGGTGCCAGCTTCGATGGCTTAGGCATAGACAACCGCCCTCTGGACTTGGAAAACGACCACTAACATCAGTGCACCATGTAACATAGGGGCCTAAACAATTACCTGAATTATCCGGGGGGTTCCTTAATATACTTATAGTATAGTGAGCCACAAAGCCCTATTTTAACTATTAAGGCCCCTGTATTACAAGCACGAGACACTATCGATGGGTAGCTCTGACAACTACTGTGGATGGAGGAAATCTTGCACCACTTGTAAGATGTGTTATTTAGCTTCACCCCGCGCCCCCTTCTTAACATTGCTATGGACACGGGGATTTACAAAATCGTTCCAATGACATAAATCTTGCACCGCCCCAAGAGGTCTGTCGTCAATGTTAAGAAGGGGGCGCGGGGTTGTTGCTTGGATGTGTACTCGAAACAAGGTGTGTAGGTGGTGCAAGATTTCCTCCATCCACCGTAGTACACACATGCGCATCATGTGGGTACACGAATTCTACCACGGAAGACAATGTTGCCAATCAGCGCAACAAGTTTACGCCCTGTAGAACTGTATGCTAAGCACAATCTCTGGCACTTAGACCTAGGGGTTTATAAAGTTTAAGGGGCTTGAATTTAGGGTTTGGTTTAAGGTTTGCGGCTTGGGGCGTAGAGTTTGGCGGTTAAGGTTTAGGGCGGAGGTTTGGCGTTGACGGTGCAGGGTTGAGGATTTGGGGTTCTAGATGTAGGGTGTGGAGTTGCCCAGAGACTTGAAGCAAGCAGACCGTACATCTTGAGTCCCAGACATCTAAGACCCCAGAATTGACAAAGTTCAAGTACGAAGCTTATCTCAAGCCGTCAAAAACGCCTTGCAACAAATCATGTGAAACTATTCCCCAAAACCCCACAGCGCTGAACCCTAAACCCCGAAACCCCTAAACCTCAAAAAACACCCTAAACCCACCAAAAAAAAAACGAAACCCCTAAACCCTGAACCCTAAACCCCTCTACCATATAGTAACTTACACTTTGAACCCTAAACCCTGAACCTTAAACCCCAAACCCCGAAAGCCTAAACCACAGACCCTGAACCCTAAACCTGAACTCGGAACCCTAAACCTTAAAAACCCTAAACGCCCAAACCCTGAACCTTAAACCTCTCTATCATATAGTAATTTAAACCTTGAATCCTAAACCCTGAACCTTAAACCCTGAACTCGGAACCCTAAACCATAAACCCTTGGGATTCGCTATAGGTGTGCCGCAGTCTCCCAAGCCTTGCCCTGCCTAGACCCTAGATTTTTGGCCCAACCCTAAACCTCTCTATCATTATAGTAACTTAAACCTTAAACCCTAAACCCTTAACCTGAAACCCTAAACCCTAAACCCCGAAACCCTGAACCTTAAACCCCTTTTCGGATCCCTAATAGATCCCTTTAAAGGAACCCTAAACCTTAAACCCCCAAACTTCTGGCCCAGCAGCGTCCCGGACCGCTCCATGTCAGCGAGGCGCTTGTCAAGCTCAGCCTGGATGACTCCATGCCCACAGTCCTGGGCTTCGGGCTTAGGGCTCCCTTAAAGGGATCTAGAAGGGTACCTTTTAAAGGGATCCATAAGGGTTTAGGGTTTCGGGTTTAGGGTTCAGGGGTTTAGGGTTTAGGGTTTCGGGTTTAGGGGTTTAGGGCCTAGGTTTCTTTTTTAAGCGCCTCTTTTCCAACTCGCAGTTCGCTCGTCGAAAATCCCAAGGGGGAAGGATTTAGGGTTTAGGGGTTTCGGGCTTAGGGTTTAGGGGGCTGGGATCACCGAAACGGCTCAGCGTGACAGGGTTAGGTCTCAGCGAGCTATGTGAGATGCAGAAGAAGTACATTAACAAGGAGGGCTGCACGTGGAAACCGTGGTCACAAATTCATTATGTACCTCTTGCTCTTGGTGCTGTTGGTGTTGCTGGTGTTGCTGGTGTTGCTGGTGTTGTTGTGTGTTGTTGTGGGTTGTTGGTGTTGTCGACTTTGCTGTTGCTATAGTTGCTATCGTTGTTGTCCATGTTGATGTGGTTGTGGTTGTGGTTGTGCTCGCGGTTCTGGTTGTGGTTGCTGCCGGTGTTGATGTTGCTCTTCTTGTTATTACTCTTCTTGGTGTTGTTGTTGCTGCTCTTGCTCGTGTTCTTGTTGTTGTTGGGGTTGTGGCTTTGGTGTTAGTGGTGGTTGTGTTTGTGGCTGTTGCGGTGGTTGTAGTTGTGGTTGTTGTTGCTGTTGTGGTTGATGTTGTTGTTGTTGTTGTTGTTGTTGCTGTTGTTGCTGATGCTGGTGTTGTTGTTCTTGCGCTTGATCTAGCTCTTGATCTCGCTCTTGCTCCTGCTCTTGTTCGTGCTATTATTGTTGTTGTGGTTGTATTTGCCGTTAGGTCTTGGCCTTGTTAATGTTCCTTTTCGTGTTATTGTTATTGCTATTTGTCTTGCTGTTGTTATTGTTATTCTTGTTGTTCTTGTCATTGGCATTGGTCGTGTTCTTGTCATTGTTCTTGCTATTGGTCTTGTTTGTGGTTGCTCCTGCTGTTGTTGATGTCTTGTTGTATGAGTTGTTGTTGTTATTATTATTGTTGAAATTGGTCTTGCTCTTGGTCTTGTTATTGTTGGTTGTTCGTGTTGTTGGTGTTGCTGCAGCTGTAGCTGCAGCTGTACCTGCAGCTGCGGCTGTAGCTGGTGCCGTTGCCGTTGCCGTTGCTGTTGCTGTTGTTGTTGCTGTTGTTGTTGGTGGTGGTGTCGTTGTTGCAGCGGTGAAAAAAAAGTGTTGCTGTCGTTCTTGCTACGGTAAGTACGGGAATAGTAGTCGTCGTCGTCGTCGTAGTCCAAGTCGAAGCCGTAGCCGTAGTCGTCGTCGCGGTCGAAAGCGTAGCAGTAGCGTAGTAGCAGTAGCAGTGGCAGTGGCGGTAGCAGTAGCAGTACCAGTAGCAGTAGCAGCAGCAGCAGCAGCAGCAGCAGCAGCAGCAGCAGTAGTAGTAGTAGTAGTAGTAGCAGTAGCAGTAGTACTAGTACTAGTACTGTAGTACTGTAATACTGTAGTACTGTAGTACTGTCGTACTGTCGTACTGTCGTACTGTGGTACTGTGGTAGTAGTAGTAGTAGTAGTAGTAGTAGTAGTAGTAGTAGTAGTAGTAGTAGTAGTAGTAGTAGTAGTAGTAGTAGTAGTAGTAGTAGTAGTAGTAGTAGTAGTAGCCGCAGCAGCAGCAGTAGTAGTATTAGTAGTAGCATTAGTATTAGTAGTATTAGTAGTAGTATCAGTAGTAGTATCAGTAGTAGTAGTAGTAGTAGTAGTAGTAGTAGTAGTAGTAGTAGTAGTAGTAGTAGTGGTGGTAGTAGTCGTAGTTGTAGTTGTTGTGGTAGTAGTCGTAGTATACGTAGTGGTGGTGGTAGTAGTAGAAGTAGCAGCAGCACTGTGGTTATTCTCTTACGACGGCTACAACCTAGCTCTGTAGCAGTGATGTGTACTGCGGCAATGCTGCTGCAAGAAGTGCCGTGTGCCGTCCCGATGTAGGTTCACCCTTTGGTATAACACAGTCGACACCGATGTTACCCATGATAAGGATGAGAGCCCGGCTCTAACCAGCTATCGGCAGAGGGTCTCAAAAGCAGGCTCGAAGAACCCTTAAGTACAACACCCATAGGTATAAGAAGCCCCTACACCCCTAAACCCTAAACCCTAAGCCCTACACCCCTAAACCCTAGACCCTAATCCCTACACCCCTAAACCCTAATCTCCCTAAACCCTGAACCCTAAACCCTAAACCCTACACCCTAAACCCTAAACCCTAATCTCCCTAAACCCTGAACCCTAAACCCTAAACCCTACACCCTAAGCCCTAACCCCTAAACCCCTATACCCTGAACCCTAATCTCCCTTCTGACTGAGAATCAATGTTGACACCCAAAGCTGCCACGTACTTCTCGGAAATCTTGAGCGGGAGGACGGCCTGAAGTAAGGGCCTTAATACTTAGAATAGGGTTCCTTGAAGGGGTCCTTTAAAGAGGTCTATAGCGGATCTATAGTAGGGTACGATAGTATGGGGGCCTTACTCATTAGAACGGGGTTTTGGGCGACTTCGAGGCACTTTCAAGTGTGAACTGTTTCAGAAACTCCAAATCCTAACGTGAAACCCAAACCGGCCCAAACCCTAAACCCCAAAAGCCGATACCCTAACCATTTCAAAATCCTACCCAGAAAGCCTAAACCCCTAGACCCTAAACCCCTAAACCCTAAACCCCTAAACCCTAAACCCTAAACCCCTAAACCCTACACCCCTACACAATAAAACCCTAAACCCTCTGTACTGCTAGTTTAAGCCTGGCCCTCACCAGGACTCGGGCCAAAGGTGTCCCGTATTCTTCTGCCACTTGCAGCAACCTTCTAGTACCCTGACAGTATTCTGGGTTCTTAAGGAACTTAACTTTAAGTTACCAAACAACGGGTTCTATAGTAAATAATGTGGTTTCTCTAATGATTATTACAGTACCCCTGACAGTAGTAGGCCTTGAGGTGCGACATGTCTTCGACAGGCGTTGCTAGGCCACTCTCGGCACCGGTGAGCAGCACGTCGCAGCCGCCATCACAGAGGATCAGCACATCGCAGGCCTCATAAAGCTTCGAGGGTCCAGGGTTTTCAGGGCTTGGGCAAGCTTGTAGGGTTTGTAATTTAAGCGCTTTGGGGGTTTTGGATTTTAGGGCACAGCGGCCTCATCACCAAACTCCAGCTTCAAGGCGGCCCGGTACCCCTCGGTGTACTGAGCAATTGTAGCATAATGGGACAGGGTGTAGATATGAATTCCGGTAGCCTTGGCCATCCGCGCTTCTGGGAAGTAGACCTGCTCATCCGGATCCTCTGCAATGGCCGTGTTGGACGGCTCAACCCGCCAACACTTTCGTGAAACCTGTTGGCAGGTTTTAGATAGCAGCCCATCCTTCGTAAAGGAGAGGCTGAAGAAAGCCACCTGACGGGCCGTGTCCTTGATCTGCTGGTAGATCGCGGAAGTCCCAAGCACGTCACATCCCCCTCCACAGCCAGCCAGAACAACGCGCTTCCCAGCAAGACCATCCATGAAAGACTCCATGGCAAGATCCACTTTGCTGATGTAAGGATCTAACTGATTGGCAGAGGGCTTCAGGGACATAATTTTCTGATTGTGTAGGGTGTAGGGACTGCAGGAAGATAACTCGGCCAATTAAAGTGCTACACGCCTCACTTGCGTTTTGGGCTCTTAGGGAGTAGATCAAGTTCCGGTCCCAAGACTGGAAGTAGGCAGCCTCTAACCCCCACGGTCAGCGGGCTGCATGCAAGCCCGCCTGTGTAGTCGAAGCCTAAACGTTGGAAACCCAATAGCCTCTATCTGAAGAGTCAAGAACAAGGAATCCCAGCACTAATTGTCCTTAATCTGGTTTCCAACTTGTCCAGGTTTCCTATAGACGTGAGAAGCCGTGGATCAGAACCAGAGCAGGGCAAGAGATCCGTGGAAGCGCGGCGAAGTAGAGCCCCGTACTGCAGGGGCCATGAGAATAGTCTTCCTCTAAAGGGATGCTCAAAGGAGACTATTAGGGATCTATAGTAGGGTTCCCTATATATAGGGGCCTTAATAATTAGAATAGGATTATGGGGTATACTCTGCTATAACTATAGAAACAAAACCCCAAAAATTATATAGGAAAATATCAAGGCCCCTACACTAGCCACCTTCGCAGTCGAGCCCTGAAACGAGACGGCCTAAGCTTTTGGGTTTGCGGTATTAAGAAACGCCGACTAACAGTATGCGTGATTAGTCAAGCTTCTAACCTCCATCATGCTAACAACACTTGTTGCAACAGGATTCCAAGAAAACGTCAAAGCATTCGTGGTCATACTTACAGTCAGGACCGCGTCATATTCTTGGTAAACGCAACCATGGTCGTCATCGGCGTCACCACCGTCATGGAAGCGATTGTCATCTTGGCCATCATCAGCATCCACATCATCACCATCGTCTTCCACAGCAGCATGTTCATCATCATCATCATCATCATCATCATCATCATCATCAGCATCGTCATCATCATCCTTCCACCCTAAACCCAAAACCCTAGACCCTAAAGCCCTCACCACATCCCGAAGCCTGAAGCCCTCAGCCCTGAAACTCACTCACTCACGCTCGCATAAACGGAGTCCTGCGTGTCAAATGCACACAAACGCTCCGTGGCGAAAAGCAAAAACTACTGCGGTTCTGGCGGCACAAACTTTTGCACAAGAAATATCCCTAAACCATTGAACCAAACCCTAACCGTAACGAAAAAACACACACACACACACATGTGGGGATCTGAATCCGTAGTATCCAGGAGCCTTGCTGTTCACACCCCGAAACTTCTGAAAACCTTCGCCCTCCAAGCAGCAAACCCTTTTTGTGGTTTAGGGTTTAGGGTTTATGGAATAGGGCTTAGGTTTTAGGGTTTAAGGGAGGGTTTACACCGTAAATCGGTAAGCCTCAAACCCCAATCCCGAGACTTTCTCTTGAGCTCCGAGATGTCAGGTGCCGTTTCGTCTGGTGGCGTGACTCAGAGGGCCGGGGCCTTCTAGGTTGGGGTTGGGTTTAGTATTTAGGGTATCGGGTTTAGGATTTAGGGTTTAGGGTTTAGTTTAGGGTTAAGGGTTTAGGGTTTGAGACTTTGGGTTTATGGAATAATTTTGGATCATAGGCATTTCAGGGCTTTGGGGGTTGAGCGATGCAGGGCTTCTGGCTTTCGGCGTTCAGCTCATTTGGGTTCAGGGGTTAAGGAGTCAGCTGGTGTGACTCAAAAGTGCCGCGACGATGGCATGGTCGGAGGGGAAGTCCTGAGTATTGCAGGTGCGTTGTTTCTGGACGTGTGAGTGAGTCCCTGCTCCTGTCCCATTCCCTCTCGTTCTTTCTCAGGCTCTCGCTCTCACGCTCTTTCTCTCTCTTTCTCCGTGTCTCTCTGCTGGGATGGGTCTGTTGGGGGCTTCAAGATTACATGCTTGGCGAAGTTATAACAGAGACCTAACCGAGCATGTTGCGCTGTGCCGTGGCTGCAACAAGAATCATGCATGTGACAGGAAAGCTCCCACTCGCGACAGTAACGGGTATATAATGGCTATATTAAGGGTATATACCTAGGGGTCCTTATCAAGGGTCCCTCCTCTTCCCCTTTTTGACAAGCGACGAATGTAGGAAAGTTCACGGAGTCTTCGAAGGACAGCTGGCCAGTGTTGTCTTTGACAGGGTTGGCGTGGCCAGCCTGACGATGTCAAACAGGCAAGGGCCAGTTTTCCAACACCACCGAGCCCCAAAAGCCCCAAATCTTTAATCGTAAACCCTAAACTCTGATCAGCAAAAGCCCTAAATCCTTTGCTAAACAGTCAACAAAGCCCTTCCACACGGACCCATACGGGGGAGGAGGGGAGTAGGGGGCCTTAATACCTACAATAACGAGTTAGTAAGGGCCCATTTTAGGAAGTATCGTGCCCCAGCCCCCTCCCCCTACCCCCCTAAGGGTCCCTATGATGACCGAAACAAAAACCCTGTCACAAAAGCCTCCAGCGGATGGACCATCCGGAGCTGGTCGCTTCGGAAGGTGATCCTGAGCTCTTGTTTCAGCGATTCGGGTTTAGGGTTTAGGGCTTAGGGGGCAGGGTTTTGGGTTTAGAGGTTTCCGGTTTGTTCAGCTTTCAGAGCCTGGGCTTCACGGCGGTGTTGTTTAAACTTCAGTTGCAGTGAGTTGCCATAATGAGGAGACCATAGTAAGTAGTATGTTTTCAAACGTTCAACCCTACATGGCCGCTCAACTTAAGCTCCTTTTTAGTTTAAGAATCCAGCTCAGCAACCCTAAACCCTAAACCCACATCCAGAGCCTGGGGTTTTAGGGTGTCTGGGGCGGCCAAGGGCTCTGTAAGGCCTCAGCACGCTTTTCTTCTTAAGCCCCAAAAGTAACCTGGGAATAAGAAGGGTGCCCTGTTTGGTTTCAAGGGGCTTATCAGGGAACCTGAACCCTTAAAAAGGGAAGAAGGGCCTACTCTAGGTCCTAGTCTTAAGCCCCATAGAATAGAAAGGTCCAGCACTGCAGAGATGATATCATCCCCCCCAAAACGGTAAAGTGTACTCGTTCAGCCATACTACGATACCACGTCTTCATTGCATTAAGTTGAGCCTTTTTAAGCGTCACCGCCCAAACCCCTAAACCCTACCCCGGAACCCTAAACCCCTGAACCCTAAACTCTGGCTTTCGGTTCATGAAAGGTCGGTGGAATCCTCTTCAACGGTTGGGCAGGGCGAGGCTTGGGAGACTGCGGCACACCTATAGCGAATCCCAGAAAGTCGGAACATGGGTTTAGGGCTTAGGGGTTGAGGGGTTTAGGGCTTACGGTTTAGGGTTTCGGGGTTTAGGGTTTAGGGGTTTAGTGTTTGGGGTTTAGGGGTTTAGGGCTTCGGGTTTAGGGGTTTAGGGTTTAAGGTTTAAAGGATTAGTGCTAGGATCCCGTATACTTTACCTTAAGGGCATGGGGATACTAACATTCCAGCTTTCTGGCTTCTACTGTGCAGGTGTATGTACATGCATACGCACCGACGTACCTACGGACCTACCGAACTACACATATGATGTATAACGTACATACGTACGTATGTACATAAGGTACAAGCACACGTAGCCAAACATACATACATACATACATACATACGTCCATGCATGCAGGCATACTGCGTATCTTGCCTGGCGGCGGGTTTAAGGGGCTCTGGGGGTTTAAGTTTACGCAAGGGAGTGAGTAAAGCCAACTAATTCCATAACATGCGCTCTGTTCAAACCTCTTGCAGCCATCTTGAAAACACGCTGGTTGCTCTAGAGCCTTTATAAGGCATGAGTCGGATGTCAGATTTTGGTTTGAAGGCTCGGGATTTGAAAATCCGAGATTTCACGCTCACACATGAGGACCTATGGGGTGGGCTGGATGGTTCAATTCGCTGGGCTTTGGTCCGAGCTCTAGGTGCTTATAAAGTCGCGAAGCCCTTTCCGCATCTCCTGCGGGGCTTAGCTTGACAAATGTCTTGAGTACAGGGCAGTACCTGCAAGGACATCATTTTCGCTCCCCCTAAACCCTAAACCCCTAAACCCTAAACCCTAAACCCCAAAACCTAGGTTTCACCTCAGGAAAGCCCGAAGTGGAGGCAAAGCTGAATCCCCATAGCCAAGTCACAAATCCTTCGGATTTCGGTCACCTGCTGGCAGACAAGATCGCAAGACAAGGGAGGATGGCAGACAAGGGCCCGTAATGCAGAGGCCTTAAAAATTAGAATATGGTTCTGGGGTCCATTATACCACAATAATTATAAAGAGAAAACACCAAAACAGTATAGTAGTTATTTAGGCCACAGTATTAAACCCAAACACAATCCCCCTGCAAACAGAATTACGCAGTTTCTAAGCCCCTCAATCCCTAGACGCTCCCAGACTCCCAGGTTCCCCAAAGAAACGATGCAAGCGAGCGGCCTTTCGAGACGCGGTCCTTGTAGCTTATGGCCTCGTGAACTCCACGGGCACTGAAGCTCTCAACAGGATTTGGGGATGTACGGATGAGGAATGAGGAGGGTTATGGTTTAGGGCATAGAGATGAGGGTGTAGGGCTTGTGGATTAGGGTTTAAGAGGGTTACTGCATGCGACGTCTCACGATATATAAAAGAACAGCACTCTGCGATCTAGATGCTGGACCTACTAGCCAGAGCCCGACCTGTGTACTCAGACGAGCCCGACTAAGGCCCAGCATAATCTAGGATACCCAGTAACCTAAGAATAAAAAGGCCTCTCTTTTTGGTATTGGGTAACTTTATAAGGAACCTAGGACTACAAAAAGGGAATAAGGGTACTACTGGGCATCCTAGTAATACAAATCCTCAAATCGCCCATCATCTGCAGGTGATCCGCAGCCGAAGCCTTTCCTGTATTGCTCAAGTATTGCCCTTGCCACTATTACCGCCGATACCGTTGCTGCTGCTACTGGTGGTGGTGGTGGTGCTGCTGCTGCTGCTGCTGTTGATGTTGCCGTGGCTGTCACTGGTGTTGCTGCTGTTGCTGCTGATGCTGGTGATTAGTTTGTTTCTGCTGTTTCTGTTGCTGTTGCTGTGGTTGTGGTTGACGTCGTTCCCTCATGCAACCAAAGCCTGAATCCCTCCGATACAATGCAACATAATATCACATATACTAAAACATAACATACATGTGTATACATATATATATATATATATCTTATATCTACATATATATATATATGCACACATATACCCTGTCGCCTTGTTCAGTTGCGGCTGCAGCGAGGTGCGCGCGCAACAGGTGGTAGGGCTCGGATCCTGGGTTGTGGGGCAGGGAGTTGAGAAGTTTGCCGTAAAGAGTACGATAGGTTTAGGGTTTAGGGTTTTAGGGTTTTAGGGTTTAGGGTTTTAGGTTTTTAAGGTTTAGGGTTTTAGGGTTTAGGGTTTTAGGGTTTAGGGTTTTAGGTTTTTAGGGTTTAGGGTTTTAGGTTTTTAGGGTTTAGGGTTGTTTAATCTGGGTTGTGCTTTAAACCCCTTGAATTTTTGTTATGAATAGGTGCCCTTTATAAGGAAAGAAGGGAAATTAACCATTATCCCACAGCACAACCCAGTAATAAGAGTATCTATGATGAGGGTATCTATAAGGATCACTATACGGGTTACGGCGCTTGCGCTTTAGGGGTTAGGGGTGTAGCGGTGGATATGTTTCGAAATTGGAACTCGGGATCCGGGCTTTCGACCGGGAATCAAGAGCTTTGCTATGGGTTCCTATACTGAACTTAGAACCCCAGCAAAAATCCTAATTTTAGCGGTTTCTTAGGGATTATAATAACCAAAAAATAAATACTATTTCTAGGTAATTACCCCTAAGGTTCATGCAAGCGCAAACCGTCATCTCCGCACCTGACTCCCCTTCAAAACCCTAACGTCCCGAAACCTTGACCCCTACAACCCTTAACCCCAAGCCCCCAAAGCCTTAAAGTGATCTAGGCATAAGGAACCTGGAGCCAAAGCCCGCGTGGAACTCTTATCAACCCTTTCTGCAACTCATAACAACCTTGTGAAATGCCCTTATTATAAGCCTCCCACACCAGCATTTCGCAGTCCTCTGAAAAGAACCCTACTCTGATTGTTAATCAAGGCCCCTATATTAAAGAAAGCAAGCTTTATAGTAGCACTTATAGAACCCCTTGAAAGGAACCCCTGAAGCACTGAGCAATTGCAGCCAGGGTCGTCCCCGAAGCACGTTGCAAGACCAAGCTGCTTCACCTTAGAGGGTTCAGGCCTGTGGTTCTTTTGAGTTTAGGGTTTGGGGTTGAGGGTTTGGGGGTTTAGGGGTTTAGGGGTTTAGGGGTTTAGGGGTTTAGGGGTTTAGGGGTTTAGGGGTTTAGGGGTTTAGGGGTTTGTTTGAGGGCCTTTTTGCAACTGCACTAGTCTCTAGGGACTCTAGGGTTGAGGGTTTGGGGTTCAGGGTTTAGGGAGGCGGGGACCCGGCTAGGATTCAAACTTTGGAGATTGAGCTTTGAGCTTACGGTTTGGGCTTCAGGGTGTGGGGTTGGGAGTTGAGGGTTTGGTGAATGTGGCCCATTCTGGTTCAGGGTCGTGAGGCTGCATGGCTATCATCATGTAAGGGCCTTAACAATTAGAATAGGGTCTAGGGTCATGTTGTACCATAGGTACAATATGGAAGCCTCTTCTTTACCCGACCCCTACCGTATTGAGTTCAGGCTTCTGCTTAGGCCTGTCGAGAGCAACTACTGTTTAAGCAACTTAACCGCTTAACCTCAGGCACCAGTCTGTCGTAGTGGGTGGAACCTTACGAGGCGCGCGTGGAGTGGACATCTTTCCCAAATCAGCAGACAGCTAAAGGCAGCGAGCTCTACCCTAAACCCTAAACCCTAATAGCCCTCAACCCTGAACCCCAATAGCCCTAAACCCTAAACCCTACACCCTAAACCCCAAACCCTAATCCCTAAACCCTAAACCCTAAACCACAAACCCTACACCCTAATAGCCCTAACCCTAGTTCAAGGTCGCCCAGAATGGAGATCGGAGCCTCGCAACAGGCTCTTGCGGCGCTATAATATAGTGGCCTAATAGGGTTTAGGGTTTAGGGTTTTCGGGCCCATTATAGTATGACTGTAGTTGTAATAAAGAACCCCCGAAATAGTATAGGTAATTATTCAGGCCCTTGTAGTACTTCAGTGCACATGACACAAGGCTCATGCCATGCACTCCGAACGAGCTACTGCAGCTAGTGTTGCTACAAGAAAAGGAGCATAGCACTACATTTTTTCATTTCTACGATTAGCCTGGGTACTATTACTTGGGTACTATTACTGGTACTACTACTATGACTATTCTTATCGCAAATGACTATTTGTATGACTATCAATACTTTCGGGACTTAATTTTAGGCAGGATGGGCCAGCGGGCAGCAGGCAACTATGCCCCGAAAGACTGTCGATGAGGTACCAGCAGTAGCGGAACGAAACACCACAATCACAACCGCAGCCACAACAACAACAACAACAACAACATCAACATCCACAACAGCAACATCAACAACAACAAAACCAAGAGCAACAGCACCAGCAGCAGCAGCAGCAGCAGCAGCAGCAGCAACCGCAACGGCAACTTCAACTGCAACTGCAACATCAACAACCACCACAACATGTATAACAACACCAATGACAATGTCCACGGCGGCAGGACGAACAAAACGAAGAGCAAGCAACCCAACGAGCACTGGCAGTAGCAACTGCAGCAGCAATAACAGCCGCAGCACACAAGCCGCAAGGGCATGGCAACAGTGATGCTACCAAGGCTTTTAAGACACTTACAGCAGTGGTGCTGGGGACCGTCTAAGGAATAGCTTCTCGCTGTGAGCACAACACGTCTTATGGAACGCAGCAGGGTAGAAACTGACTGAAATGCAAATGTCAACATCGTGATGCTGTTGCTTACATTCTCTAGACGGTTGGCGGTGCCACGTGGGAGTTTCCGAAAACAGGGGACCCTAATATAATGCCCTAAATAGTAGCATCCTTATTACGAGGATCCCAAATAAGGTAACCCCAATTTTCGGAAACTCGCACATCGATACAACAAAAAGCCTTAATGCTCATGGCATGGAGTCTTGTCTCACCAGCAACGCTGACCGGAAATACTGAACATTGCATAAAAATGGGACTTTCCAAAAATAGGGGACCCTAATATAGCACCTAAAGCGTAGGATCCTTCTTACAAGGTCCCGGGTGCACAAACTTCTTGACAAATCACTAGTAAGTAGACTTATACGTGCCGTAAAAGGGACCCTAATTGGGGTTATGGTACTTATAAGTCCCTAAAATAACCAGTTACTTAGTCCCCCGACCCTTCAAGTAGGCTTATCCAGGCTTGTCGTGCTGATGGCTCCGGAGGCTCAGTGCAAGTCTGAAATCTCTACTCTTGAACTGTACCCTCAACCTGCATCTCAAACCTTTCAAAATCTGTATAGTAAAGACCCGATACCCGAAACTCCACGTCCCAAGGCTTGACACTCGAAAAGCACCTAAAACATCCTAATGAACACCCTAAACCCTAAACCCTAAACCCTGAACCCTGAACCCTAAACCTTAAACCCTAAACCTTAAACCCCAAAACCCTAACCCCTAAACCCTAAACACCGAAGTTTCCCAGGCCCGAGTCCCCGAGTCTGCGCCAGTGGTGCTGGGGCCCAGGCAGCATCCTCGAAGAAGGGGCTTTAGGACTTTAGGTTAGTAGGGGCCCCGACCCTGTAATGGTGGTCTAATAGGAATACAATCGGGCCCTAATATAATCCTTATAGTCACTATTACAGGGTGGGGGCAGCTTCTAAACTTTAGGGTTTTACAGACTTTGAAAATACAAAGGGTCAATCGAGTCTTGCTTGTATCGGAAAAACTCAAGGTGTTGGACGCAAGGTTTGAGCTTCTAGGAATCTGGAAGTACGATTAAGTTGGGTTTCTATGATACAAGGGCCGCTTGTGATCTCAACCTTATTACAAGGGTTTAGGCTTTTGACGTTGATTCCCGGAGTCTTGCGGATCTTTCTGCAGGGAGTCTAGGGTTAGAGGCCACAGGGTAGACAAAGTTAGGTTTACATACAATACAGCACTAACATGTGTTTATCGGTATATGTGCATATTGACATATCGGGATAAGAGCGGGAGACTACAAGAATCAAAAGGCACACCGCATTGGAATCAAGCAACCCTCCAAAAATGTTTTTCGAAATTTGGCAAGGGTGCACCTCAACTCACACTAGCAAAAGGGCCTCAGTAATCGTCCACAATGGGGTTTTGGGCTATGTCCTAGTATAGTTATGTGAGGAGTAAAAAGGCGTAGAGACACAAAGCTGTCTAGAAAAAATCGCGAGACGTGTGAGGCTGTAGGATCTATGGCGCAAGATCCTGGAGTCCGCCTTCATCGGAACTTTCAAGAAAGCCCAAAACCTTGAAGAAACGACCAAACTATCCTGGCATGACATCCGAATGAGAGCATACTTCCTCGATCATAGCAACGTTTGGGAGTTTTAGGGTTTAGGGTTTTACGTTTTTTGGTTTTAAAGGGGTTTCTGATGGCTAGGATTTGGGCCAAGTGGCCAGCAACGTTGCAAAGCCCAGCTTGTCTTCGCCACCATGGACGTAGGCGTTAGCATCCAAGCCGAGGATCAGCGTATGCCTTCGTCTTTAGTTTAGGGTTTAGGGTTTAGGGTTTAGGTTTTAGGGTTTAGGTTTAGGGTTTAGAGTTGATGCTTATTATTGCAATCGTTACTTACGGCTTCCGCTTCAAATCTGAACGCGACTTTCAGCACCATCTTTATTACGGATTTCAAGCGGGCTACGTATTCCTGAGACCCCTACCAAAATTACAATTTTAGATATATCTTGGGCATGATATGAACCAAAAATGAAAAACAAATTTCAAGTACTCCTGATCAAAAGTAATAGCCCTCGAATCGCCGAGGGGCCCTGGGAAGCTCTCCTGTGCTCAAGATTCGAAGAGGGCTTGGGGTGTCGAAGCTTTGAAGTTCCAGGCAAATTCTTCAGGAACCTCTGCGAATAAAGGGGCACCTCAAAGTTGCATCCACTTCCATCCCCATCTAAAGCTTTCTCGGTCAGCACATTTGACACTTGTGTCGATTTAACAGGGTGGCTCGGTGGTCTCATGTTGCTGCCAGAGATTCAAAGAATCAAGGGCTCTAAACCCCGGAGTCCTAGAGCCTCAACCCCAAAGCCTTAGGGTTTAGGGTTTCGGGTTTAGGGTTGGTAAACCCCGAACCCCACGGCCCAAACCTGAAGCTTTTTGCTCGACTTGAGGATTTCGGCTGCGAGGAATAAGGTCCCTGAAATCACTATTGTTCTAATCATCATTGTGATTATTATGACGGTCCCTATATTATGAAACCCTCTCCGCCCGCACGAAGTGTTACAAAGCCCCTCACCCCCCCGGCCAACACGAAGTCCTTCGCTGCCTTTCCCACAGCCGCCAACAGCGGCTTTGTGAGACGACCTCCGGCTCAGGACGCCCATGCAGTATCATCCACACACACACAAAGAAAGAAAGAAACACACAAACAAACAAAGAACCAATGAAATGACGCAAGACCTGCAAGGAACGCACTACATAACGAGGGGAAAAAGGACAGAACAACCACGAAAAGCTATTTTTATTAAACAAAAAAGGTAGAAAGAAGGACTGAAACAAAAGAATGCCATGACAAAGAACAACAGATTGACAGAAACACAAAAACAGATTAAGGAAGAAGGAGAGAACTACGGAAAGAGCCGAATAGAGAAGGAAACAATAAGCAACAAGGGAAAATAATGACGATGATCATGATGAAAGTACTGATCGGAATGCTGTTATTTGCAGTGCTTTTGATTTCCTGTACAACGCATTGTAGAATCAACACAGCACCAAACACAAACTGACGCCTAAGCACTCCAAAGACAACAACCCCAAGACTACACACTCGCAGGGAACGTGTGTCCCAAAGTAAATTACCTTATAATTCGGGTTTAGGGTTTACCATCCACTTTAGCTAGCAAAGGCCGAACGCCTCATGCAACAAAAGAACATATGCTGGCAACAAACCCAAGAGCAACCCTGTTTCGTGTGGCAAGTGTGGCGTTTTCGGCAAAGACTTCTTCTTCCAAGGGTCTAATAGTCCCCCCCGCTGGTATGTTTCGTTCTAAGACGATATGATACTGCCCCGAAAACTGCGGTGCCAGCAGTAATAAACAGTCTCAGCCAAAACTCGAAATAGTACTGGTGATTACCACAAACAGTTGCTAGCCTTGATCATGATGATGATACTAGGTCTTCAGGGGGAGTCCCGGATTGCCGAATTTCCAAAGTAAGACTTTTCAGACGTCAACTGTTGGATTACATTACAGAAAAAACATATGTGTTCAGACGTCAACTGTTGGATTACATTACAGAAAAAACATATGTGGGGAAGAAAGCACCAAATATCCCCAACTGCCTGCCGTATCGCCGTGGAAGGAGGCCAGCAGATATGACCTGCAAGAAGCGGGTGGAGCGTTTGGGATTGTTGGCTGGAAGGGCTCTAGCGTGGATGTTCCAGTGGGGTATATCTGCTACATGCTCGGCTAGTGTATATATATATATATATATATATATATGTATATATATATATATATATGTATATATGTATATATGTATATATGTATATATGTATATATGTATATGCTTTGCCTTTATGGAACTTGGTCCCGAAAGACCATCCTCATTTTGATTTTGGGGACTTCGTTCCATAGTGGTAGGGTACTATATATGTATATATATATATATATGTATATATATATGTATATATATATATGTATATATGTATATATATATATATATATATATATATATAGAAACCGTCTTAGCCACATTACTACAAGACCCACTACTGCCCTTGCTGTTGCTACTATTACTACGACTGTCAGTGCTACGGCACGGTCATTACCGGGTAGTTCTCTAAATTAGGGTTTGAGCTCCCCCCAAATAGGACGGCACCCATACAAAAATAGACAACGGCCCTAAAAGGAACCCTAATTTAGAGAACTACCCATATGCTTCCTAAACCCCTAAACCCCAAACGCCTCAACCCCTGAACCCTAAGTTCGAGAACTACCCAACCAGAACTCGGAACCTAGCGTCGGACGATGCTAATTTGCCCAGACATGTGCAAGCAAAGCCTGAAACCCTGCACCGAGAGCTGTTAAAGGAAACCCGAGGGTGGGAGGGTTTTCGGGTTTAGGTTTTGTTTAAAGGGTTTAGGGTTTAGGATTCAGGGTATAGGGTTTCGGGCTTGAGATTTTTGCAGTTGCCATGTGCATCCAAGAGTAACGTGTCTTTTGAACAAGGCGGGCGAGCATGTCGGCGCAGTCTCCAACAGTAGGCTGTATTCGGGGTGTGCATGTATATAGATATTGATTTAGTTCTAGTAAATCCCGTCTATGGTCAGGGGCTGTGTGGTCAAGGTGGGTTTAGAAAACTGGCAAAGCCCAGTCTGTTACCTGTTCAAGCTCTGCTTAGTAAACTTTCTTCGATCCTTATATCCTGGGGAGAAATCAACATGATGGATTGAATTAGCCGGTGTAGCCAAGATTGTCTTCTTACGAAAATTGCTGTTACAAAAAGATTTGGGAAGGAAGTTTAGGTCTACCTGCGAATATCCAAACCCTGCGATTACTTGTATGGGAGTAGTACGGGGCTTTGACACGTATATGCGTATATCATCTGCATAAGAATTTGTGATACCAGGCATCCATAGTCTTGAAGTGGCCTATTTCTTAGAAGGGGCCCCAACCCTGTAATAGTGGTATAATGGGACCATAATAGGGCCCTACTACGATCCTTATAGTCACTATTACAGGGCGGGGGGCCCCTTCTAACCTGTTTCTAGTGTGAGGGTGTCTAGGGTAAATCAGGGCTGGATCAACTGTAAAAATGAAATGCTTTGACTTTGGGGCGGGTGTCTAATTTGCTGCGCCATATCTGCTGTAGTTTCATATGACGCTGCTTGTGCTTTGCTGCTGCATTCCTCTATGACTGTTTTAGTGGGCTGTCCTTTGAGACTTGTGTCTATGGTACTATATATTTAGATGAAATGTCGGACCCGTGCTCAAGCCATCGGCTCAAACGCCCTTGTTGCCCCTAAACCCTAAACCCTAAACCGATCATCATGTGGGAGTCGCCCCACGATCAAAGCCCAAAGAGCCACATCTTCCAGCCCCAGCATCTCAACTCAGGGTTTAGGGTTTAGGGGTCTGGCTCATAGTTCTGTGCTCAGTTTGGACAGTAACCAAGGCATCAATGTCGACTGACTCGGCATTGCAGTGCGGGTTTAGGGTTGAGAGTTCAGGCTTTAGGGTTTAGTTTAGGGGTCTGGCACTTCCAATGAAGTCTATTAAGTCTATGCTGGAAAAAAGGGCACCGGCTCATCGATACGATCGCCTGAACCCAAACTTTATCTCCTCAGCGTTGAACCGTAAAACCTAAAATCTGACGCGTTTGTGGCGTAGCTTCTTGATGTTGAAAGGTTTGGCATGTAAGATTTTTTTCAAAAATATTAAAGTTTCACCTCAGGCTTTGGCTTTTTGTTGGCCTAGGTTTTGTGACTGGCCTTCCGCTGCAGCTGTCCGCTGCCACGGCAACAAGGTCGCTGTTGACCAGTCGCACCTGAAACCCACCACACAAACCAAAATCCCTACGGAATGAATTCGAGCTTCGTTTAGGCTTCGTCAGGGTCTGCGGGGTAAACCTCTGAATCGTGGAGCACCGAGTGTGGGACGTAAATATGCGAGTTCCAGGTGCCGAGTCCTGAAAAACTCCATGTACCCTCAGCAACTGCTTTAGAGCTTCGCGGTTTAGTGCTTCGGGGTCGAGGGTTTCAGGTGTGATTTATAATTTATATTATATTATACGGGAGTATCCAAAAAGAGGGGACCCTAATAATATAGTACCCTCAATAGTAGCCCTATTATAAGGACCCCACAATAAGGTACCCCTAATTTCCATATTTGGGGGTTTTGAACTGGAGGGAGGCTCTGGGGGTCACCGTTTTCTACCCCTAAACCCTAAACCCCAAAACCCTAAGGTTGCGAAGTTCCGCCAGCCCTCCCTCCAAAACGCTTTCTGATGTAGTCGACTTTGGATTTCAAGTGCACCTCCGGAACATCTGCCCTAAGCCCTGAACCGCACAGGCAAAAAGTCAGACCTCGGCCTTTAAGCACTTCTACGGCCCAAAAAGGCACACAAGCAAAAAGAAGGGTAGGGATATCTCATGTAAACCCCCGTATGATGAAGCCCAATAGGGTAGGGATATCCCTATAAAAAGCTTATGCTTATGTCCTGTTTGGGTCCCTAACCTTAACCCTAAACCATTAAGCCTGAATCGACGGTACGGCAGGCAGCCGAGCCGCCCCAGAATCAATTGCAGCTTCGATGGTCTGCGTCACGTCCTCAGGCATGTCATGGGTATTAATCAAAACTAGAGTTCTTTTTTGGGTAGCCCAAATCTAAGGTGCCGTAGTATAATCAGGACCCAAAGAGGGATAGGAATCGGGTTGAGGGTGTCTGGAAAGCCTTGTGTTACAGTACATACACGGTGCACAGAGTGCGTAGATCCGGTGTGCATACACATGTTGCATATATTTCAAACTCACCCGAAACCCTAAACCGTGGCTTAGGATTTAGGGTTTAGGGTACATACATACATGCATACATACGGACATAGATACATAGGTACATACATACATACATACAGACATACATACATACATCGTGCACATATGTAGATGCACACAGTAAGAACTCAGAAGCAGCTCATGCATAGATACATAGATCATCCATGCAGACATACAGACGGACATACAGACCGACAAGAAAACAGACAGACAGACAGACAGACAGACAAATAGACAGACAGACAGACAGACAGACAGACAGACAGACCGGCGGGCGGACAGACAGACAAACGTGCATGCCTGACATGACAGCATATTGCAGTACATTACGTTACATGTACACTACGTTACATTCAATTCATGCATGCGTACGAGCCTGTATACATGCATCCATGATATTGGCAGTGCACCTTCTGTTCTTTTCTCTGATACAGTATTATATAGACTATACTACGACACATTACACCATCAACTTTGTACGGTAGTATATGATGCTATGTAGTATCGCATGACATCATACTAGACTGTACTGTTGCATTGCATTACCATGTGTTACCTCATACATACATTTGTATATGTAGTTTAGACTATACCAACCTGAAATACAATCCTACAGTATGCTAACATGCCATAGCATTTGGTGTAGTCTGAATTATTTCTATAGCATGCTAGTACCACCTATACGGTTACAGGACCGCAAGTGGCTGTATGCGTTGAATCGCTTAAGGGTTGCTGTTGCTGTTGCTGCTGCTGCTGCTGTTGTTGTTGTTGTTGGTCATGCTGGTGCTGTTGTATTACATCCTGTTTCGTGATAGAGGGTCATTATGCTATTTTCTATATAAGGCTACCTGTTTACGTGTTATCTCAAACTACCTTGTGCAATCGTACATGACATGAGATGACTTTATGCAATCGTGTATTACCCTATGCCTTGTACAACCCCTTGTTGCTATGCAAAAACATATAACCTTGTGCAATCTGGTAGAATCACGAAAAACCAAACGTTCATAATCTTGCGCGATCTTGTATAATCCTGGAAACTTGCTCAAATGTCGTAGAATCTTGCATAATCGGAAATTCTAAATGCTGGCAGAACCTCGCAAGGCTTTGTTAAGTCTTGTGTATAGTCATGCAGAGCGTTATATAACCATGCATTACCTTAAACTGTCTTCTACTACCTCCTACTGTCTTGGCTGCTCTTTTTATACATATCATACCCTTACCCAAGCATATACCCTTACCTAGACCTATGTATAACTTGTCACTTGTCGCTGTGGCCGGAAGAAACACCATTGGCAAACACATGTTCTTGGCGCGGAGTCTTTCTCGATTCCAGTATTTAGACGCTGGCAGATGTTGCAGATGTTCATTGTCTGTGTGTGAGGGCCTGTAAATGAAACTGTGCGCACCTCTGCCAGGCTTGCATCTGGACACATGTAAGTATGTGTATATGTTCATTCAGGCCAGCCAGGCCACTTGAGATGCCCAAGGCTGCTGCAAAAACGTTCATCAACAAAGAAACCGCTAGACACAAGGTGAGCTCAAGATCCAGCGTTTCGGTCAGACTGAAACCTAGATGGGCGTTTGCGAAAACAGGGGACCCTAATATAGTACCCTACATAGTAGGATCCCTATTGTAACGACCCTCAAATAAGGTACCCCTAATTTTCAGAAACTCCCAGATCTCGACCTTTAACCTCTAACTCGAAGTGTCCCGGATGGTGTCGACAAGGAAAAACTTCTTGGAGAGCAAGAGGACTGAGTTCCTCGGCTCTGGTTTAGGGGCTTAGTAGTTTAGGGTATAGCGGTTGAGGGTTTAGGGCTGGGGGAATGTGTGACATGAGGCACAGTCTATTTGACTTCTTCGCCCTTTAGGTAGGCATCTCACTGACCGGAGCACCTTGAAGACTTTGACTCAGATGCACCCGTGACATGCTAAGCTTATGGCTACAATGACGACGACAACACATTCCCAAACTGCTGTGGCCGCTGCCGCTGCCGCCACAGCTGCCACTACAGCTGTTGCTGCTATTACTGCTCATGCCACGACTGTGGTTACTGCTATCACTATAAGTGTTGTGATTACCTTACAATAAGAGTTGAACACTATACTCATTTGACTATCACCATCCAACGACGACGCCGATGCCGACGACGATGCCGACCTCGCCAGCGCGGCAAGGCCAACGACAACGACATTTTCGAGATTGTTGAGTAGTATGACAGCTTACAATAATAGTGCTAGCTACTACTGCTACTGCTACTGTTCCTGCTACCTCTTCTGCTACTTCCACTACTACTGCTACTAATACTACCACTACTTCGGGTTTTGGCCGGGAGACCCTGAATATCCATATGGGTAGTTGTCAAAATTAGGGTCCCTTTTGGGTACCCTAAATATTAGGTGCCGTATGATAATAGGGACCACAAACGGACCCTAATTTTGACAACTACTCACATCCAAATACCGTCAAACCCTAAATCCTAAAAGCCTTAAGGCCTAAACCCGAAACCCTACATCCTAAGCCCGCAAGCCTAAACTCTAAACCCTAAATCCCAGACCGTAAACCCAAAGCCCAAAAGCCTCAATCTCGAATGCTGAAATCTGCAGCTTCGGGTCTGATCCCGCTTGCCGTCCAAGCTCTCGGGCAATATGCAGCTGTGGCCTTGCTTGGGGTATAAGGAGTTTAGGGTTTCGGGTTTAGGATTTAGGGTCAAGAGTTCAAGGTTTACGGTTTGAGGAGTAGGGCATTTGGTTTTTTTAGAAAATCGGAGCTGTTGCTTCATGTTAAGGTGCTTGGGATGCAGGGTTTTAGGTGTACGGGCACTCACGGCCGTAAAGACTCAGAGTGTTGGCTTTAAGTTTGGAGTCGGGGGTTTTTGGCAGTGTATGTGTGTGTATATATATATATATATTATAGCTGTAGTTGCTCTGACTCTAAACCCTAAACTCTGAACCCTAAACCCTAAATCCGAAGCCCCTAAACCCTAAACCACAAATCCTCTTCCACAGGAACGCTCTTCGGCCTTCCGGCATCGTGATTGCTATGCTTGGCAGCGCTACCGGCTGTGCTGTGGCTCGGCTTACATAGAAGGGCTCCTGTAAGGGATCTACAAGGGTTCCTTTAAGGGTTTTAGAGTTTAAGGTTTATGTTTCGGCTTACCAACAAGGCCCATATAAATTGGGGGTACCTTAGTTTGGAGTCCTTATAATAAGGATCCTACTATTTAGGTCGTATAAGGGTCCCCTGTTGTCGGAAACCTCCATACAGCAGCTATACCATGTGGAAGATAGGTCTTCGAAATAGCGGCGCAAGTGCCAAGCCGTCGCCCTCAGCATTACCGAGCAATGTGCAGCAAATGCAGCACAGTAGCAGCAGCGGGAGAATGCAGACCTGTACGACAGCTTCGGCGAGCGTCCTAAGGCCTAAGGAGGTGCAACCCTAAACCCTAAACTCTGAAAGCCAAAACCGTGTGTCAGGCTTTCGGAAGGCTGAATCTTCTTCGATACCCTAACCCCCTAATCCCGAAACGAGTCGCTCTCCGCAAGTGCAGAGTGCTGGAAGAAGTCGCAGAATGTGGCCGCAACTTCTTGCAGGAACAGCACATCGACCTCGGAACCCTACAAACCTGAAACCGCCATCCCAAACCCGAATCGCCCGACATGCCACCCCGAAGTTCAAGCTGAGTGAAAGGCCCTTCGGGTTTGGAGTTCAAAGGTTTCGGGGCAGCACCAGGAAGCACCGGCCCACTTGTTCCCTGAAGCATAATATGGGAGCCGAAAGAATTACCAATACCATACTTTCGGGGCTCCGTACTACGTATACAAAAATGGGTCCCAAAACCCGATTAAAACTATATTATCCCAACCTAAGTATACTTTGGAGTTCAGACCTGTAACCGGAGGAAAGCAAGCCACTGAGACCAGAATGCCCTTGCGGGAATTGTCTTCGCCTTGGGCTTTCAATCCAGCCTGCAAGTTGGCAGACTACTGCTTCCATCGAATAGCAGGTAAATGATTAGCGAGCAGTAAGTAGAAGGCAGAACAGACACCACCGCCACCACCCCCACCACCACCGAGAGCAACAAAAAGGCCTTCAATAGACGGACAACCTACCAAGACAACATCAACTAGCCATACAAAAAATGCGTCGCACTAAACCCTAACCCCTACCGCCCACCCCTAAACGTAAACCCTAAGCCCTTAAAACCCCGAAACTAAGCCCTCAACCCTAAGCCCTTAAACCCCCAAACTAAACCCTAAACTTCCGTATCCCCAAGTCTGCTAAACTCAAGACCCTAGACCCGAATATACACCGGGATACCTTGATGTCCTAAAGCCCGAAACGATAAGCATGCTCTAAACCCATAACTAAACTAACAAACCCTGCACTTCTAAACCCTGAAACGCCTTAAAAACCCACCTTACAAAACCCTAAAACCCTAAACTCAGAACCCTAGAACCCTAAACCCACAGGCAAAGAGAAGCCTGAGCCAGAAGTCCTGGCCAGGTTGCCGTGCTGTAAGCCGTCTCGAGAATCTCGACAGTCCGCTGCGTCTTGCAGCGGAAGAGCTTGTCGACTGGGCGTTCGGAGTTTCGGGTTTCTTCAAGGTTTGGGCCTTAGGGTTTAGGGTTTAAGGTTAGGGTTTGGGGTCTTAAAATGGGCTTCCACGCTTTGAGGCTTAGGGTTTAGGCCTCCATGGCTTGCGGTCTGCGGGGTTGGTCTCCCTGTTTGGGTGGCTTTGGGAGAGTCGGGATCGAGTGTTCAGGTCTGAGGGCGCCTGAGGGTGGAATCTTCAACGCGGAATCGCAAGTCCTGAAGGGTGTAGGACTTTAGAATCTAGGAGTCCGCTTTTGAGCCCGATATCAAGATGGCGGGGCCTGGTCAAAGCTTCGGCCTTGGAAACATTCGGCGACTCTTTCTGATGCTGCACTGGGTTGGCTCCTTCGAACACGACAACACCAAAAGCTCCAACCTAGCCTGTGCCACCAACGCCCATCTAATGTGGCGCCTCATCCTGGCAGGGCCCGACTATGACCGCACCGGCGGGCAGTCGCGGCGGGGTGGTGGTTCGGCGCTGGACCAGAGTGAGGTCGTTTGGATGAGAATCCAGGTCCCCTAGCCCGAAGCATCGGTTTACCAGGGATGTCCTCGTAAAATCGCGAGCCTCCTCCACGAGCTCCTGCCAGGCGAAGCAGTATCATGACAGAGTCGAGAGACCCAGCTCGCGCAGGGCCGCAGATCGGGCAGGGAACATCAGACCGACTGCGCTCCTCCAGGCTCTGCTGGATGTCGCGCCGCTGCTGCTCCTCCGGCACACAGAGCGCCCGTAGCCGCAGCATCGCCAGCATGAAATAAGACATCCCTGCAGGGCATCACGACAAATCAACTCCGGCATCTACGGTCAGACCTGAAGCATCGAGCGATGGTGCAGCGATACACGTTGGCATGTCTTGCACGACAATGTTGACAAGCAAAGCACCTGGTGACTTCATTGCCCTGTCGGAGGTGCGGACAACGTCAATCCCGTACTGCAGCTCGTCACACCTCCCCTGCTTCCGGATCTTGACAGATGTATCCGGTAGGACCACTTTGTAGCCCAGGGCAAGATCGATGCAGAAGTTGCCCTTGACCTTACTTACGAAAGACGGCATGCAAGGCTTTTATCAGGCATTCGATCTACAGCTCATTTTTTGCTATCCGGCGACGAGAACGGTTTCATCGGAGGAAGGCGCATAAAGTAGTCCACGGAGTTGTGTGATGCTGAAGACGTAGCGCCTGCTGCGCCACCTCATCTCATCCTTCAGCTCACATATATTCCGAGTTCCCGGGCAGCCTCAATGCCCAACTCCGCTTGCCCGTCTTTGAACTGCACGTTCAACTGCCACAGAGAACGTGCACAGGAACCGGCCCTAACATCTACTCGAAGTCGGCTATGCACACTAGACAGGGACCCTACGTGCAAGCCTCTCGGTTGAGAAAGGCATCCTCCGGCATGACTTCGACGTCGATGCAGGTCGGCAACGTCTTCAGGACAGAAGGAGTCAGCAACAGGGCAATTCGGCTGTACGCCTTCTCCACGGTCGGTGCTGCCGCAAGTAGCCACCTCCCGCGTCCGAGCATCACTACGCTTAGCAGATGCACGGCCAAGACCTGAAGTGCAAATCATAACGCAACAACGCTCGCTAATTAGCGTGCCCACCTGGCCGAAGGTGACTCCGAGAGCTGCTTTTCGGCGTAGTAGGCTTTGCCGTTCTCGCGGGTTACCAGCAAATACAACTGAGTCGGCCAACCTGGTCGAGATATGGATGCGCTGCAGCCGATGCGGTCGGACCGCCGCCCCGGCACACACCAAAGACAGGAAGCGGCAGTAGTTACGAGATGAGACGCAACCAACTGGACCTTGTCGAAAGCAGGAATAAAGCGCCCTCGAACAACCTTCAACATCACTAACTGTAGGAACCAGTCAACATCAGCGTGATACGTCTATACCTCCGGAGCGACACGTCCGTGTGCTCAACTGCACTGCCTTCTCTAGACCCCTCCGGCTTCGATACCAGCGGCGACCGTCAGAAGGCCCCGGCACGATTACTGATACAAGAGGTACTAGAGTGCCTCATACTGCGGGCTCAGGTAGTTACTTCGCAACTCTATAAGTCGGTGCCGGTCCACTTTTTGAAGGATCGAACATGAGCAGATGCGAGCCAAGCAACCCTCCGAGTCGAAAGCCACGTCAAGCTCTACAGCCTTCTTCGTCCTCTGTCCGTAGTCACAGACGTAGATGTCGCAGCGCAACTCTCTGCTGAGATGGCAAGCAGCACGAGCACGAAGGGTGACGGCTCGACCTTGGAAACGTCCTGCCCAAAGGTCCTGTTCACAACAGAGACTTATATCGCTCCCCAGACCTCCCTACGCAGACACACACGGCCATGACGTAGAACCTCCATCCGGCCAGATTCCCCCCCCCCCCCCCCCACCCCTCGCTACAGCCCCAGTATCGGGGCCTTCAAGCATGAGAGTGGGGTTATATGAGGGAACCCTATGCAATAACACGGGTTACACCCTGAAGGCGACATCGTCGAAAGCCAGCTCATACCTCACAAACCTCCAAACCCTTCTAAGGCCTTCTCACACCTGGAAAACATCTGCTGGTTTAGGACTTCGGGTTTTAGGGTTTAGGGTTTGCTTAAGATCAAAATGAACAACCTGGCTACTGCAAAAGCAGTAACAAGATATAACGATCACAGGAATATCACTTTTGAGCCTTTCGATCCACTCTCCCGAAATCAGACCCCTCCCCTAAACTCAAAGCCCTGAACCGTAAATCCCTGATTTTCCGAAACCCTAAACCCCGGAGCTCGAACCCCTAAACCTAAATTGTAAACTTTAAACCTTAACTCCGAACCCGTAAGCCACTAAACCTCTAAACTTAAACCCGAAACCCTAAACTTTAATCCCTGAACCCTAAACTTTAACACCCTAAACTTTACAACCCTGAACCCCTGAACCCTAAACTTTACAACCCTAAACCCTAAACTTTAAGCTATATTAAGGGTATATGGGCGTTTCCGAAAATGGGGGACCCTAATATAGTATCCTATATAATAGGATCCTTATTATGAGGACCCCCAAAAAAGGTACCCCTAATTTATGGAAACTCCCATATACCTAGGGGTCCTCATTAAGGGTCCCTCCTTTTACCCTGGGATTGGCAGGCGAGGAGCAGATCCGGCTCTTCACCACCTGCCAAGAGCCGTCGGCCGAACATCGGTGCCTTCGGAGCAATCTTCGAGGGTTTAGGGTTTAGGGTTTAGAATTTAGGGTTTAGGGTTTATGTTTTAGGGTGTAGGGCTTAGGGCTCGGGGCTTGGGGCTTGGGGTGGGTTGGGGTTTGGGATTTAGGTGGCGTTGGAGCCATCTTCCAGTCAACTCGGGGGGGTTGGGGTGTATGGCTAGGGTTGGGGTTTGGGGTTTAGGGTCGAGGGTTTAGGGCTTAGGGTTGGGGTTTCATTTTTAAGGGTCTGGCTTTGGCTTCGGGGGTGGGGCTCAGGGCTTGAAACAGCGGATTTGCATGTGGTTTTCCAGGTTTTGCAGGGATGCACCATGACTTTGATCCTCGCGCGATCCTAAGTGTAAGGAAGTTGTGATGTTGATTTCGGAGTTCCCCCCTGCAAGTCTCTTGGATTCACTGTTGAGCTATCAGGTGCAGCAAAGCTAGAAGATCTACAGCCCAACTCCATCAACGAGGGTTCGTCTGGGTGGTGGCTGCAGCCGGGCCACATCAGATGCACCATCACCGCGTCCTAGGACAGACCGCATGCGCTTATCATGGTTCGCTGCTGACGCTGCTTTGACTACTACTACTACTACTACTACTACGACGACGACGACGACTGCGACAACGACTACGTCGCCGACAACGACGACGACTACTACTACTCCTTCTTCTTCTACTACTACTAATTACCAATATTAATACTACGACCACGGCTACTAGTAGAGTCAGTAGAGGCCGCACTGCTGCTACTGGGACGAGCTGCTGACCTGAGTACATCACCGGCATGTTTATCGCAAGCATCGCTGACATCAGCGCCATGACCACCATGAGATGGACCATCGAAAATCTCAGTGTGACAGGAACATTCTTTGTAGGCACTGGCGACAGGTGACAAACCAATAACGAGAACACACACACACACACAGACCCTCATCATTAAAAAGTGAAAACGGCATGTCCTTTGATACGACGCGTCATTGCTTAGTAATAATCAGTGCCGGTATGAACAACGACAGCAATAAACATGACAAATCTGACGGCTACGATCATGCCAAAAGAACCTACATGTCATGTGTTGTCATTTGGGGTGCCACGCCACGGCACTATCACCACCCCACAAGTCCTAAAGCCAGCACCCTACCACTGCCATCTCAGCATGTCTTCTGCTCAGCTTCGAAGATGGCTTGGCATAGTATCTGCAGTGGTATTGCCTCAGATGGAGCCACGATCAGGGTGCAGTTGCTGAGAGGTCTAGGGCTCAGGCTGTCGGGGCTGAGAATCATTCTCCAGGTTTTCAGGGTTCGTCTGACAAATCCAAGGCTTGTCGTTCTGGTTATTTGACTTGTTGGGGTTTGGGATGAAGGCTCGGGCTTTCGAATCTGGGGTGGGCGTACAGATTAGGGTTTAGAGTTAAGGGTCTAGGGCATCTGGGATGAAAACCCACCACGTTGTGGGCAACAGGCAAAATAAGTAGTCAGGGTTTGGAGGTTAGGATTCGGAGAGTCGTGGTTTAGGGACGGCGGACGGCAGGAAGTGAAAGGGCAAGGGCTGTGCCTTGCCAGGCACCGCCCGATCATAGTAGCTTGCTGTGAAATTTAGTCTACATCAGGTTTTGGGGTGCGTTGTAGCCATACTACAGAACCCTAAGGACAGTTTCATTAGTTCTTCAGGTGCACGTTCTGGCGATCCTCGCCACTCCATCGTCACTGGCGCACGACACGAACGAAACCCTTTTCGAGAGACCCTTTCGAGCATCCCATGTTAACCCGTTCTCTTAGGGTTTAGGGCCGCTGAGGGTTACCACACCAAGCAATCTCCTGCAAAAGGCCTGATACCCCACATTCGACGACGCTAAAGCCTAGACAAAAAAGACCAACCCTAAACCCAATGCCTAAAACGCTTATGGCAGAAGCCCAAAAGTTGGAAACCCAATAGCCTCAATCCTTCACTACGTAATGTATAGGGAATCCCAGCACTATTTGTCCTTTATCCGGTTTCCCACTTTCTGGGGTTTACTGTAACCCCACAAAAAGTTTGCCAACACCCCGAAAGATGCTGACATCCCTCCAACGCCGGAAAAAAACATGTCTAAAGCCCTTTATCCTCCGTCGTCCAGGCCCGAAACCCTTGCATCCCAACACCTCTAGTGAAGGGGGGGGCCTTGGTAATTGGAATAGGGCTTTGGGGTATATAGCTATGAAAATTTATCATAGGAAACAATGTCGGCAAAGCTTCCGGATCATGTTTTGCTTTCCCATCCCGCAAAGGATGAAGAGTTCAAATTTTCAGGGTTTGGAGTTTAGGGTTTCTGGGTTCTGACATTTAAACCCTACACCCGCAATCCTTGACCCTGAGCCCTGCGCCCAAAACCCTAAACCCTGAGCTTTCCCTAAGCCACAAACCCCAAACCGCACACCCCAGTCCCCATATTAAGGGAAGCTTTGAGCCGGCGAGCTAGTCTCTCCTCCTCTTCGGTGATCGCTGGATATTTGCCTCGATCGGGGCCGACAGTAACATGGGGGGGGTGGGGTGGGGACAAAGGCGAAATAGGCTGTAGGGATTGATTTAAGTGGTGGTCTAAATAATTCGAACCGGGTTCTGGTGTTTATTGTGTTCTAGTTATAATAAACAACCATAGAAGGAATGGCTCATGCCAGTTATTCGAAATTCAATTTGAATTCAGTGCTAAATCTCGACTTACGGGTCTGCTGTTAGCGGTTGTGTAGGTGTTCGCTGTTCAAGGTTTCAGGATTGGGGTTTAGCGTTTAGAGCTTTGGGGTTTATGGGCGGGGTGGATTTTTCAATAGCAAAAGGATGCATGTCCCTCTGTTCTAGGCTTTCAGGTTAGTGGCTATGAGTGAGAACAAAATGTGAAGATTCTTATGCTCCTACTCGCAACAACTCGAGGAAAATTCTGGTGGGATATGATGTGCTGGATGCGCCTCTGTAGGACTCGTGAAACATCGCACTGTTCATGCTGCCGAATCCTAAAGCTGGGTCTTCTCCCTACAAGTCTAGGATACTGGTAGGGTTTATGGTTCAAGGGTCCGGGGAATTTTTTGGGGCAAAGTCACATGCGGACTCTGCTTAATTCTGCAGTTGATTAGAACTTAACCGAATACGATATCAAAAAACCGAAAACATGCACAGTAGATTCAGGGCATGTGGCAGAAAACAACGTGTCATTGTTCGAGATTGTCGGATGCGTTGAGGAACGAGGTACTTCGTGTAGATTTAGCGAACTTCAGAATACTGGGGGGTTCATTGCTGGGAGACCTTTTGGTTTCACTGCAAGCGCCGACTACAGCGGCGAAGAGAATGTCTTCCCATGCGTGGGCTGTCTTGAAGATCTTCGGCTCTAGGCAAGTGCGCATGAAATGACCATGATCTAAGGAATGGTATACGGCTTAGGGTTCAGGGTTCAAGCTTAGTGTGCAGGGCTTCGGCCTTAGGACGCAAGATGATGTATGGAATGTCCTTCATGTCGGGTGCGTCTCCCTACTCTTCATGCCTATATAAACCCCTACATAAACCCTTTACAAACCCTATATATAAGCCCTATAAGCCCTATAGACCGTATAAAAGCCCTAAAACCCGAACCAACAACCTCAGCGCCAAGACGCTTCGAGGGATCGGCTCCAGCATCCTCAGCTCAATTCGTCGCGGCAGTCGAAGTAGCAAGCTAAGGGTTTAGGGGTTCCTTCTAATGGGATCTATAAGGGTTCCTTCCCAAGGGATCTATAGGGGTTCTATAAAGGGATCTATAAGAGGGTTTAGCGGTTCGTTTTAATGGGATCTATACGGGTTCCTTCCCAAGGGATCTATAGGGGCTCTATAAAGGGATGTACAAGTTTAGCGGTTCGTTTTCAATCGGATCTATGAAATAGCAAGTTGAAGGTTTGGGGTTATTGGGGACCAGCTGCGGGTTTAGGGATTCCTTTTAAGAGGGATCTATAAGGGTTCTATAAAGGGATCTATAAGAAGGTTTAGGGTTTAGGGTTTAAAGGTTTAAGGTTTAGGGTCTAGGGCGTAGGGTTTCGAGCTTAGGGTTAATGGCTAAGGGTTTAGGGGTTCTTTTTAAATGGATCTAAAAAGGTTCTAAACGCGGATCTATAAGAGGGTTTAGGGTTTCGGGTTTAGGGTTAATCGTCAAGGGTTTTGGGTTCAGTAGCATGCAACCTGGCTTCTGCCGTGGCTCCGGGATAAACGCACGCACCCGGACTGCGGAGATTTGATCTTTGTGAGAAGTGAGAAGGAGATTGAATTCGCGGCAGCTCTGAGTCGAGAAGAAACATGCAGGAGATCCAGGAGAGGACGAATTCTATTGCATGCAGCATGCACGTGCAGAAAAGAATTCCCAAACTATGGCACTCTAGCGCTGCAGGACTTTGGCGGTGCGACAGAGCGTCTTCTGTCTAGGCCTTTGAAGCAGCAGTATGCTAGACCGTCGCTAGGCTGGCGAGTACTTTACTGCTAAGACCCATGCCGCTATCGTTTTCTTTGGGCTTGCTTGCATGCAAGAATTCTCAGGTCGCGCTGCCGCCGTCAGAAAAGAACAGAAACAGCGAAAGACCGTGGAGTGAGAGGGGAGCCACTTTGCAAAGGTTCCACTATGCGATACGTTGACGACCATCCTAGCAATGTCACTTCTTTGCTAAGTCATGTTACTCTTTCGGCCCAGCATCATCGATGCTGATTAGACTTACTAGCTTATCTACTGACAGGTTTCCGCTCTACTCCTGCGGACGCCAGGGGTGCCGGCGATTCTGATCGTCCAGACAGTAGTCCATCTGCCACTTGAGCTGATGCACACGGAGATGGGCTGGCATTTCCGCAGGATCCTGTACTGCCTGACGCCGCCTGGCGTTCCGCCGGGCTTTCACTCCGGGAAGAAGCTGATCCTGGTCCGAGTCGGAGGCTTTGCCTTCCTCCTCGCCCCCTTCCCACAGAGGCTTCGGAAGATCAACGGGGCCTATAAAGTCCGGTTGAAGCTCGGGTGCCTTCGCACCCTCGGCCTTGATTCGCTCGCACTTCCGGCCTCCTCTACACCCGGGACCCCCATGCAATCGGCGAAAGGGCAAGCATTCTTCCTGCGCCGGGCCGCCAATTCGGGAAGGGGATAGTCTGCCGGCACGCCGTCAGGAAACTGTCTTAGTAATAGTAGCTCGTTGAGCGGCGAAAATTTGCTCTGCTGTGGGAAAGGCCCACGCTTGATTGAGCATGTGCCGATTGCATGCATCTTTATACACAGAGCAACCCTTGCCACCGTTGCAGGTTGCCACACTCGCGCAACCGCGATGGCAAGGAGGCGCTTTCCGGACGGAGCCGTCCGAATTAAACCAGCTGCTCCGCTCTACAGCCTGGGCCATCTCCTTATCCTTTTTTGAGGATCGGGAAAACATGGCGACGACCCATGGGAGCTCGTGGTCGGGAAACGAATTACGACCGCCACCCTTTGAGCGCCAGTTGCAGTAGCGGCCGAGCACATACATCCTCTCCCGGATGCTCTTCCGAAGCTGCTCTCGCGTTTGCTTCGAATTACGCCGGCCATCTGGGTTGGCCGTGCCGCGCCGCTCGAGATCCGCCACTTGCTCGATCCAGGCCGGCGCCTGTGACACAAAGGCAGGAAAGCGATAGCAAGCACGAGCGCCAAGGCAATCTAACAGTGGAGAAGACAGAGAACGAGAGAGAGAGAGAGAGAGACAGAGAGAGAGAGAGAGAGAGTGAGTGAGTGAGAACCGCCCAGATTCCTCCTGGATCTGCCGCTGCACGAAACCGAGCTGCTTGCCGAGCGCCTGCATCTTCTGTTCAGAAAGGGTGAGATGTCTGGTGCATGAAGCCTTCCGTTCGAGGCAGTCGACAAAGGCATCCCTGTTTACCGTGCAGAGTCAGTAGCGGCGCCGTTCGAAGGAGATCGGCAGCTGCTCGATTTGGCGCTTCATCTTCTGCCGCTCCTGCGATGCGTGAGACTCGCTCGAAAACACTGTCGCACGTCACACCGCTTAGATCCTTGTTCGAACGGCGACCTTCTCTTCCCGTCTCTCCTTTTGCTTGATGGCATCCTACAAAAGTGATGTCTCACTTCAACTCACCTGCGCTGTAAATGTCTCCCCTAGCAGTAGTAGTAGTAGTAGTAGTAGTAGTAGTAGTAGTAGTAGTAGTAGCAGCAGCAGCAGCATAGTTATACTTTGGATAGGTCTGTGAAGCCGTTTGACTGAAAGCTTTTCCGTAGCAGCAGCATGGAGATGACGGCGTGAACGACGAAAATGGTGGTGCCAAAACGTCCGCGCTAACGACCACAACGTGGTGACAAGGCCAGGATGTAGGGTTCAGGGTTTAGGGTGGGCACGGAGGCAATCCCGACCATTCTCAAGCCAGCCGACAGGTACCCTCCCGACCGGTCACGGTCTCGAACGGTTCCGACCTGTCAGACCGGTCCGGACTAGTCCGATCCACACTCACCGATCACGATCCCCCCCAGTCTCCACCGATTCAACGGTGCGATGGGTCTTTAACGGTCCGGAATGGTCCCAATAGTCCCGGCAGTCTGGACCGAACCCGAACTGTTTAGGGTTTAGGGGTTTAGGGGTTAGGGTCTAGGGGTTTCGGGTTTAGGGTCCACGCATCGTATATCCTGAACCCTGAGCCCCACACCCCACTCTGTACTACTGCGAGCCTCTTGGATCCGTGCTTGCTGGGCATAGCCCCAATGGGTCAATATTGACAGTGTTAGAATCAAAAAAGGGAAAGACGATTACTGCTCCATCCCTACAGAGATTTGCAAAGCCCCCTTAAGTTCAAGAATCCTTATAGAACCTTTGCAAGAATCCGTATGTTGACCCTTAAAATCAGTGGTTCCTACTGTAAGCCCCATACAAGCCCTTGAAAACAAAACCCTATAAAATCACAGACACTAGACAACCCCTATACACCCCTAAGAACGACCTGAACTTACCTTGGGTTAGTAGGGAATGGAAGAATGGTAGTAATAGTAGCTATAATTATAACTGTAATTACCCCATTCGTCCATTCCCTACTAACCAAAGGTAGGTGAACAAATCCTGAACGCTCTAGAGCTCCGGGGGCACTTGTCTTGAAATTGCCAGCATAGAACTGGCGTAGAAACTGTTGTACCTGGTAAATCCTAGGCCCCTTACCCTGTCCTAAACCCCTTGCATTCCCAGCATCTGGCAGGGCCGTCTGACCAGGACGCCATCGCTGGTCCTGGCGATCCACTGCAGACAATGGTTGATTGTATACATGGGTAGTTGTCAAAAGTATGGTCCCTATTTGCGTACCCTACATATTAGGTGCCGTATTATAATAAGGACCCAAAAAGGGACCATAATTTTGACAACCACCCACATACAGACGAAGCGTCTTGCTTCAAGAGTACGTAAGGGTGTAAGTCTAGAACGTAAGGTACAGGGATGAGAGGTTTCTTTGAATGGTCCTAAAACAAGGGTGACTATAGTGCGTAGAGTACTGGAGGGGATTTATGTGATAGTTGATGTAAGGAACTTGTTCATTGCAGTAGGGTTTCGAGGAAAGGAACTCTTACAACTTGTTCAGGCCTTCTAGACGCTATATGTGGTACTCTTAGGGCTGTATCAGGCAGCAGACTTGTACCGCACGTGGCGATTTCTTCAAAAGTAGGCTTACCTCACCTAACTGTTTTTGCACAAGGCTCCAAGCATGTTCAGGAACCTCTTGAGGGACCAGTGTTTTCGGACACTTCGTATAGGATGCCCACGCACTGCTTTAACTTTGGAGGCTAGTGTAACCCAGGAGCAGTATTTAGCCCACTCGTAGGGGAAGTCAGCCTTGTGTCCAGTTGTATGGCAGGGGAGAAGAACGTCCGCATGTGCAGTCCGAAAGCCGTGCTTGTGATCCAGAGGGTGGGCACAGGGTACTGTGGGAAGCGATGCAATCGGGGCGGGAGTCTCCTTGAACAGCATACCCTGACTTGAAAGCCCGGGAACCCGAAGTACACACGCACCTAAACTCGTAGCGTGCAAGACGCATTAGCATCCCCAGGAGGTACCGAGCTTGCATCACGGGTTCGCGATGTTCAGGAATGAATTACGCGCCCATACCTTTACAACATGGGATGGGGCATTGCCCTCAAACGTTCGTAGGTTCCCCCACATCTAGTTGCACCTGAACCCTAAACCCTAAACCCTGTAAGGTTCTTTTTGGGAATTCTAGGTCCGATCTCCCGGGTTCGGTGGGTGTAGAGTGCGCCTCACTGAAAGCGGCTCCAGGAACATGAACCTGGCTCAAAAAACCGCTAGGCTCTTCTAAACCATAAAGCCCCAAACCATAAATCCTAAACCCCAAATCTTGAAAAGAAAACCTTTTAGAAGCCTTAGACCGTAAACAAACTGTCTTGAACATGTAAGCCATATACAACACACACCCTTCAACGCAGTTGGGGTTCAGTTCGGCTAGGAGTTCAGGGTTTCAGGTGTCTTGGCGAATATTAGCACTTCTTCAAGCTTCTACTTTACCTAGATGCTCATGCGCAACCCCTTTGTAAGGTTTCTAATCTTCTGTAAAACAGATCCCAGCCATAAAACTAGGTATCCTTAAAAAGGGGTAGGGCATGACCCTCTACTCGGATGGTCGGGGGACTTCGCAACTGGTTATTTCATGGAGCTGCAAGTATCGTAACCCCAAATTAGGATCCCTTTAAGGTACTTATAAGTATCGCAACCTCAATTAGGATCCCTTTTAAGATACTTATAAGTATCGTAACCCCAATTAGAAACCCTTTGAAGGTACTTATAAGTCTACTTACTACCTACTTACTAAATCCCCCGACCCTCCAAGTACAGTAGAAGCCAGAAAGTTGGAATATCAATATCGTGACCCCTTTAGGTAAATTATGGGGGCTCCTACCATTAATCCATATTCCAACTTTCTGGAGTTCCCTTTAGGTACCTAGAAACGCGGTCCCAACACCGAGGATCCTGTAGGAGCTCCTGCACTGTCTGAACCTCTTGATCTAGGGGCCTTGATGATTAGAATAAGGGTTCCCTTTAAAGGGCTGCTTTAAAGGGTTCTATAAGGGATCTATAGTAGGGTTCTATAGTAGTAGGGTTCTATGAGATATAGGGGCCTTAATAATTAGAATAGGGCTTTGGGGCCTGTTCTATACTACACTTATGACAAGGAACCCACAAAACGGGATTGGAAATTGTTTCGGCCCCTACAGTATGTCCAAGAACACGGGCACAACAAAATCCGCACTTGCCAATTTTTTCTATCCCAGGCACAGCTGGCGGATTCCTGGATGGGTTCTTGCGACATGTGTTTGGGACAGTGGTGGGGTGGAGAAAGGATATGCTTCATAAAAGAACCCACATCACCAAACCCAGAAACCCCGAAACACTACGGATGCCTATCAAACTCGGCACCTTGAATCGAAGCCCAACTTCAGACTGACCGAAGTTGCGCCTCTTCCATGACTCCCACCAAACTTCCAAGGTGGAAAGGTCACCTGACTTGACGGTGTGATGCCCGCATCCCAACCCTCTATTGCACCTTAGAGCCCTAAACCCCTACGTGGAGGATCGTGGGACTTATAGCAAGTAAGCTTATAAGTACCTTAATTGGGGTTATGAGTAATTAGAAGTATAATTACCTTAATTATAACCCTAGTTACTAAGTCCCATGATTCTTTAAGTAACTATATTATAGTACCCTTATAGATCCCTTATAGATCCCTTATAGTAGCCCTTATAGATCCCTTTTAAAGGAACCCAACTCTAGAGTTCGAAGCCCAGAACACCCTAAAACCTTCGAGACCTGAGTTGCGCAACGGCAGACCGGCTCAAAGCACGGCTCTTGGACACCGGGGCGTTTAGGGGTTTAGGGGTTTGGGGCTTAAGGCTTAGAGTTTAGGGCTTACGGCTTCGAAGCACAGCTCTTGAACACCTGAGTGTCTAACATGGGGGTCTTAATAATTGGAATTACGTTTTGGGGCCCAAAACACTATAAATATGATGAATAAGGACCCGCAAAATAATATTGGTAGTTATTTAGGCCCCTATAGTAGGCTTGAGGGTTCAGGCATGCAAGTGCCTTGCAAAATCGATCAAGGGCGGGAAAGCAGTCGGCAAAGAATGGAGTCCCTCAAAGGGTCGATAAGGATCCCGCAACAAGGTATGCAGGTTTTACTTTCGGGGGCCTTAATGACGAATATAGGGCTTTTGGGGTGTCAGCCTACATAATATGAACCCTAAACCCTAAACCGAAAAAGCCCACCAAGCCTCATAGAAACCTCCTCAAAACTCCTGATATAATGGGCTCATGGGCCGTAGCTCTTAACACTATACAGTAGAAGAACCTTGTTCCCCGGTGTTCCCTTGTGGAAATTAGAAATAAGGGTGCTCTGTTCCTGTTATGAGGAAACCCTAGACTGAAACGCACAGAAGGGTACTATAAGTGATTCTAGAAGCACTGAGCCCTGAGTTCGAAACCATCATATAGGAGAATTGTTAGTTAGAACAGGCTTCCCATAAGGCTTTTCAGGTGCAAAAGGTGCTGCGGGGGTGGGCCATGGGTGGCGATGCAGGGTTGGCTGGCATGGCGACAGGCGCGGCACTCGACGGAGAGTTTGAATGGCGCGGCACTTGACCTTCTTGTTCTTGAACAGCCCGGCAATGGATGAAAGCCAGCCACTTTCATACAGCAGCTCTAGCAGCAGCCTCAGGACCACATCTCGCGACCACTGTTGGCGGAGGCGTTGGCTGTGCCAAGTGGGAGAAGGCGGAAGGTGCACGGCCCGGGAATTATGTACAACGCTGCACCCCAGCAAACCCCCCAAAAGCGTCGAGAACTTGCCTTTGGGACGGCCTGGATCCCCCCGAGGCCCGGGCCGAGGTAGTTGTTGATGACCTTCAGGGCCCGCAATAATTTAGTGGCCTTAATAATTACCTATACTATTTTGGGTGGGTTCCTTGTTATATCTAATTACTAGGATGCCCAGTAACCTAGGAATAATGAGGGCTCCCTTTTTGGTATTGGGTAACTTTATAAGGAACCTAGGACCATGAAAAGGGAATAAGGGTACTACTGGGCATCCTAGATTATAGTATAATGGGCGCCAAAACCCTGGTGAGGGATGGGGAGAACACGCCCTGTGAACGCCGCGCCCCCTCAACTCAAAGTCGGGGAGCAACGCTTGCCGGCACCCCCCAAGCCCAAAACTCTGGCCCTAAACAGTAAACTTCGCTAAACCCTGAAACTTAAACCGAAAGCCCTAAACCCTAAATCGCAAAATCCTGAAGCCTGAAACCCTAATGCCCCAAAGCCAAAAAACACTACTCTAACATCCTAAGCCCTATTCCCTACACCCTACGTACCCCCAATTCGTAGGTTCCCCAGCTGCCGTTTTTTATAATCAGGCTTTTGATAACGAGCCCCCAAGAGAAAAGCACAAAAGCTGTTTTACTGTCCGGCGCTTAGTAGGGAATGGGAGAATGGATCCTTCTAGTACGTAGTCCCTATAAAATCCGAGTTTATGTAAGGAAGTCGCAACAGGGAACCTTCAAAAGGTAGGTTCTTTCACGCTCAAGCAAACCCTAAACCCCCCCCCGAAACCCTAAACACTGAACCTCGAACATCCTAAACCCACCAAAAACACCCTAAAACCTGAACCCTAAAACCGCAACCCTTAACCCTGAAGTCGATGTACCCCTTCGATTCCAAGGCCGAGAGGCAGTTGGGCGGCACTTTGGTGGCGGTTTGTACTCGCTCGGCGCTCTGGTGACCACTTGAATCCTGGGAAAGACGGGCATCGGAAAGTTCAGGATCTAAGGTTTATGGGAAGCTGAAACCTGAGGGTTTAGGGTTCAGGATGTGTCTGTTCGACTTAGCGTTCCAGGGACTCTACATGGGCTCTATAAGAGCTGGGGCCTCGGGGCTGTAGACCATAAACCCTGAAAGATGAGGGCTCCGGCTGACGTGCTTTTGTCTTTGTTGTTTGCTGGCGGCCAAGGTTCTCGAGTTTGAAAAAAGCTTCGTTGTGGTTACTAATCGAAGCGGACGATTTGTGAACATATCTCGCCCTTGAGCATATTGCGCCTTCTCTGTCCGTACGCAGGCAAACAGGTATGCTTGTATGATGCAGGCGCATGAACATGTGCGTGCATGTCCGTCTCTCCATTTATGTGCTTCCTTCTTACTATCGTCATTTTTCTCTTTCTGTCGCTCTAGCTCTCTCTCTCTCTCTCTCTCTCTCTCTCTCTCTCTCTTTTCTCTCTCTCTCTCTCTCTCTCTCTCTCTCTCTCTCTCTCTCTCTCTCTCTCTCTCTCGCCTTCTCTATCTCTGTCTCTATCTCTATCCCTATTCCTATCCCTATCTCTATCTCTGTCTCTCTCTCTCTCTCTCTCTCTCTCTCTCTCTCTCTCTCTTTACATGTGTATGTATATATATATATATATATCTGACTGAATATATGTATGTATATATATATATATAACAACTATATATATATATATATGCACTCAATATGTGTACTTGCTTGTGTGCGCGTCGCCTGAACCAGATAGAACAAGTCGCAAGAGAATACTACTACCAAGCAACAGCCTCGCGAGATGGAAGACCCATGTCATGTGAGTGGTGGCCACCCTCGAAAGCGCACAAAAATGGCGCTTAACCCGTACTGTTGTGTGACAGCTGTTATGTGATCGCGATGGTGACTGAATGTTATGCTGATGGTGACGACTGTAAACGCGAAGAATGCCAAATTGCAGTCTGGAAGTTTGCTGTCTCTCCTAGAAGAGGCAGCCAAGGCTCGTGTTCGTGATCCGATCCGGCATTGATATCAGTCTCTTGGACCCCAGCGATCGATCCTTGATGAACTCGGAGACCTTGCATGACGGCATGGCGAGGTATCAAATGGTAAAAGGAGGGACCTGTAATAAGGTCCCCTAGGTATATACCCATGATACAGCCATTATATACCGATTATATAGCCCATTATAGGGTGGGTCCCCATTAAGGGTCCCTCCTTTTCCCCTTTGAGAGGTATTCAGCAAGTCGGCCTGTGGCCCTATGCGGCGCCCGGTGATTACGAGTTGTTTTATCGTAGTCTTGGGCAGAGCGTTCAGGGTACCCACTACTTCTTCCTAGCTCCAAGCCCAAATATCAATACCCTGCTGTCTAGACGTCCTAAACCCTAACTCGACGAAAACCCTAAAGCTCCGTGTTCACCGACGTAGTGTCAGGACTAGCGTGGCCTTCTGGGGAACAGGCTCAATGGGGTTTGGGATTTAGGGTTCAGGAAGATTCGTGGTTGAGGATGGGGTCTGGGATTAAGGGTAGGACGACAGGGGAGTTACGGCTGAGGGTTTCAGATTCTGCGAAAAGTTTCTCCCAGCTCTCGGCTTAACGAGTGGATTTTTTGGGCCGGCTTAACCGTAACACTCATGTGTTCATCGCTCAGCGAACTGGGCTTTCGGGTGCTAACGGTTGGATTGTACCACGAGGGCCTTCATAAGAATAGGGTGTTGGGGTATACTACGCAAAAACTGAGTACCGCTTCAAGCTGCTAAATGACCCGAAACCGCTGCACAAACCCTGGAATGGCGAAACTGCTGCTGAAGTTCGAAGAGTTCCGCTATCTACCTAATGAAGGTTTCGAGGTCGCTCAGCTTCGAATCCTATTGCCAACTATTCAGTCTTCTATGTTACGCAAATGACTTCATGACTGGCGACTTCTGGGGAGCAGGAATGACCTTACATGACCTCACGCAAGATCGCGTCCCGAAAATCCGTGCGTTGGGAGTAACGTTTGGTGATTCTTACGTATGTTCTGGCGATGTTGAAGTAACCAGTGAGAAAAAGTATAATTAGACTTTTATTTGGCAATAGTTCCTTTAAGGAACAAGTACCAAACTCAAAAAGCATTCAGGTATGAATATACCAAATCGACTGCTGCTGGCAACGCAAGCTTCAGGCTTCAAGATTACTAAAGCAGATTCGATCCGACATCAAGTCCGAAACCACCAACTACTTGCAGGCTCATGGGTATTTATAAGTGGGGTTATAAGATGTTATAAGTAGTGTAACTACATTTATGAGCCGTATTAGAGGACTTGTAACTCCACTTATAACTAGCCATGAACCTCCGATTTCTGAACTTATTAAACCCTAGAGCCTAAACCCTCAACCCTAAGCCCTAAACCCTAAACACCTTATAGTCCTCTTATGGGTCCCTTATAGAACCCTTCTAGATGCCTTCTAGTCGTCCTGCCCAGGTGCGATTTTCCGGTCGCGCAGCCGAAGGTCGCCAGAGCGCCACATGTGCTCCTGACAGCTCGCGGAATCGAATCCTGAAGCCCTACATGGGAGTTTCCGAAAAGTAGGGGAACCTTATTTTGGGGTCCTTGTAATAAGGATCCTACTATTTAGGTTACTATATTAGGGTCCCCTATTTGCGGAAACCTTACATCAGTTCTAGCCCTTTACTCACCTTTGGCTAGTAGGGAATGGAAGAATGGTAGTAATAGTAATTACAATTGTACCCCATTCCTAACCCAAAGCAAGTTTAGGCCCTGCGTCTTACACCCCAAAGCCTAAACCAGAGGTGAGGATTTCAGCTGGGAGCCGGGGTTTGGAATGAAGCAATCCAAAACTTGAGACATGAAAAAGCCTCTGGCCATTGCTTGGGGTTCGGGGTCTAGGGCTCAGGGCTTTAAAAAGTAACAGTATACTGTTCTTTTCGGGTTGCCAGTTGAGGGTTTATGGGGCTCAGATCTTTCTGTTCAAGGATTGAGGAGAATCGCCAACCTTAACTGTAAACACAATAGCCCAGCTCAGCCCAAGACGCCACCTACACTCAAAATGCCACATATTGAGGGTGTAAACCTCAAACTTTACCCTATTCAAGACTCACGGGTTACGATTCGAGTTACCTTGGTTTAGGGCTTAGGGTGTTGAGTAGGGCTTTGGGCTTAGGGATTGGACCCCAGTATCCTCGTTGAGCTAAGTTGAACTACAAGTATACTTAATGCCCACTGCGGCTACCCTACCAACGTCCCATCGTTCGCGACCCACCCACTGCCTTACCTTTGGTTAGATGGTAGTAATAGTTATAATTGTATCCCTCCTAGCCAAAGGTAAGTTATAGGAGTATTAAGGCCTTTATAGTACCCTTATAGATCCCTTATAGTAACCCTTATAGACCCCTGTATAAGGCCCCTTTCATTCCCTCCTAACCAAAGGTACCTGGTTCAGTTCAGTGGACTGGATCCAGGTTTAGGGTTGAAAGCTTAGGAGGGCCAGGGCGTGGGGCTTAGATAGAGTTATAAAAGGGCTCTTTAAAGGGATCTATAGGGTTTCTTACAGGGATCTATGGGGTCTGGGCATCTAAGGACTCATATATTAAGGCTTTTGGGCCCAAAAACCTTACGTTATATAAGGCTTTTGGGCTACAGGGTTAGGGTATAGGGATTGGGATAGATCCCGTTTTGGGGCTTTTTTTGGTTTAGGGCTTGTAGGAATTTGATCCTTCGAGGGTTCAGGGTTTAGGGTTTAGGGTTTAGGTTACAGGGTTTAGGGGGTTGAAGGGAATTGGGGATGTAGAAACCTGGCAACCTACAGAGCAAAACATCCGAACAGTAACGTCAGCTCAAAAACCAAAACCCTAAATCCTAAACCTTGAATGCTAAACGCTAAACCCTAAAACCCGAACACCCTAAAACCCTATTACAACCCCCAACCCAAGGCCTCCGAAACTTCACGAAGCTTCACAACAAGGCTTCGGGTTTCCAGGGGGGTTGGAAGAAGCCCTTGACAAGACGATTCCGAGTTCAGTTTTCGCGCTTCGGTTTCAGCGCATCGAACAGTATTCGGGTTCGGTGTAGAATTCCGGAGCTTGGGGGAAACCCTAAATCCTAAGCCGTGGATTTGGGCCACAAGCTCTGAACCGATGCCTCCACTTCATCCACGCCTGGCATGCCCTGTTGCCTCATCAGCGCCTCCCCACGCAGATGCATCAAGGGAGGAGATTAACATAGGGGCCTTAATAATTAGAATAGGGTTTGGGGGCCCATTATACTCCAATTATAATGGGGAACTCCCAAAAAAATATAAATGTGGTTAAGAAGAGCGTATATTAGGCTTTGGGTTCAGGTAGGGGTTTGAGCTTTCTCAACCTTAGGGCTTGCAGAAGGGGCTTAGGGCGTAGGGTTAAAGTGTTTATGGGGTTTAGGGTTTCCGTCCTACGGTTTCTATGAGGGTTACTATAATGGCTACTTTTGGGCTTCTGTACGGGTTACTGTAACTTAAGTCTTTTTAGGGTTGAGGAATATACCTTCAACTATAGTAGGATCCCTAATGTGATTTAAGGTATATTCCTTAATTCGGGATATTGGAGTCTCTGGGTAGGTTCTTGTTGAGGGATTTAATTTCCGTTACCCATTATACTATAATTATCAAAAGGAGCCCCTAACTAACATAGTATAAGTAACCATTAAAATAGGCATGCTTGCAACAAGGCTTGCGCCTGGGCCTGCGATCTCCCCCTCCTGCTGCTGCTACACTGTAAGAGACCTAAAGTTCTAGGAACCCTTATAGGAACTTTATATAGTAGCCATTATCGCAAACCTTCTAGAAACCGTTATAGGAAGCCCTTGAGCTTGTAGTAGTATCAGTAGTCGTCGCCACCATCTTCGTCGAAGGCAACAGTTCGGGATCTCGGACTTGAAGCCCTAAACCCTAAACCCTAAACCCTAAACCCCAAACTCTAAACCCAAAACCCAAAACCCTAAACCCTAAACCTTGAAGCCCTCAACCCGAAGCCCTAAGCCAAGGAGACTCTATGGGTCTAGGGGGTTTAGGGTTTAGGGGTTTAGGGTTTAGGGGTTTAGGGTTTAGGGGTTTAGGGTTTAGGGTTTCGGGGTTTTGGGTTTAGGGTTTAGGGTTTAGGGTTTAGGGTTTAGGGGTTTAGGGGTTTAGGGGTTTAGGGTTTGGGGGTTTAGGGTTTGGGGCTTGGGGATTGGAGGGGGGCTTCGCATGGGCTGAGGTTTACCCATGATGCACAAGCTGCCTTTTTCCGTTTGCGGACCATGCTAGCTTTATTAAAGACCACCCTACACCGTCCACTCGCTTCCCTAAAAAGCCCCAAACCCTAAACCTTGTACCAGTATCTTTTTTCAGAAGCCCTGACCCTTGAAAACCACAACGCCTCAACGCAAAACCTTACTTACAAATAGGCCTTGAGTTCCTGGAACATGGCTTCGGTGAAGATTTCGCCTTCCCAGTTCAGGGCTTTTGGGATGTAACGCTTGGGGTTTACGATTCAGGGTTTAGGCTTTAGCCGTTTATCCAAGGGTAAAAGGAGGGACCCTTAATAAGGACCCCTAGGTATATACCCTTAATATAGCTATTATATAGCCCATTTTATAGCCCATTATAGGGTAAGGGTCCCCATTAAGGGTCCCTCCTCTTCCCCCAAACCCTAAACCCTTATAGATCCCTTTAAAGGAACCCTAAGAGCCCTAAATTAAGGGTCCCCCCTTTTCCCCCTTTGAGTTTAGGATTTTGCAATTAGGGTTTGGGGCTTAGTCTCCAAGTCTCTGAGCTGAGGAAGCCGAACAACCCTACTATAGGCTATAGGGGCCTTAATAATTAGAATAGGCTGCTTTAAAGGGTTCTATAAGGGATCTATAGTAGGGTTCTATAGTAGTAGGGTTCTATAGTAGTAGGGTTCCTTAATAATTAGAATAGGGCTTTGGGGCCCAGTATACTATTATTAGAAAGAAGGAACCACCAGAATAGTAGATGTAATTATTCAGGCCCCTGCATTAATCTTTAACTTGGGCCTCAGTTCCTTCGCAATTAGAGAAGGGCTCCTTTAAACGAGATCTGCAAAGGTTCTATAGCAGTTTAGGAAAAAAGGTGCCTCAATAAGCAGAATGGGACATTGGGATATGATATGGTATGCTAGCGTAACTGATGCCGGAACTATTGAGGATGGCCCAAAACGGTCACTAGAGTGCTGCTACTGCTACCGGTGCTGCTACTACTACGACTACGACTACGACTCCACCACCAATACCACTACCACTAGCACTGCCACTACGACTACCACTGCGACTACGACTACGACTACGACTACGACGGACGACGACTGCTACTACCACTACTACTGCTGCGATGCAGGAATCAGGAGATTTCATGCAATTTTCGCCGAGAAAGCCTCGGCATCTTCATGTGAAACATGCTTGACGCCTGACAAGCTTGAAACCTGACGTCCAACTCGCGAAGAGTGTGTACAAGACCAAATGGGACCGGGTTTCTGGGCGAGCACTCTGAATCCTGAACCCTAGAACCCCAACATCTACAATGCAAAAACCCTTAATCGCAACAGCTACAGACACCCTTGTAGCAACCCTTGTAAGTCGGCCTTGTTGCAAAGCTATAACAACCAAGACTTTCCCTCCTTTCTTCGGAGCGGCTAACCGCAACATCCACGTCGCCAGGCTGGGCCAGGATGTTCTCCACGCCGACCATGAGCTCCGTGTAACCTTGTGCTTGGGGCTTAGGGTTTAGGGTTTAGGGTTTGCATTGACATGTGTGGTGTGCTGCTCCGTACTCTGGCAACCATATGCTGGCAATATTCAGTAGACCCTAGAACCCAAACCCTAAACCTTAATCCATCTTCTTGTTGCGATTACAAGAGCGCCTGAAACAGTCTTTGCGCGTCCTCATCGTTCCAGAAACTCTAGATATTACACAACTTTATATCTCTTCCAGACGCTGCAGTTGTGCCTCGCAACGATCCCTGTGGGCAGCGCCGTGAACTTGAACTGGAGCTGTATAAATGGCACAGCACCAACTACACACAACTTATTTCCATGCCACGAACCCCCATGTCTGTGAAAGGATCCGCCGGGAGGGACTGCGGCCCAGTTTTTGCGGAGCCGACAGCTGGGACTGTCCGACGCTGTACACATCGACGATACTCCGGACATGCTTGTGGTCGTATGCCGTGGCTTGCAGATTTAGGCTTGAGTCCTCGTGCGGCCTGAGCAGATACGTGAAGACGGTGTACGGTGTGGTCGGCGGTGATGCTACGAGGGTGAAACGACGCAAGGGCAAGAATAATGTTCAGCATTATTTCAGGCCAGGTAAGTTCGAGATCACCTGCCAGCTTCTGGTCGTCCGGGGAGCCCCTGCCAGGGCTGGATGGGAAACTTGGCCTCGAGATGACTCGGCAGCTTCGACGAGCGAGCGAGCTGAAATGGCTCATTGTTCCCGAAGACCTACTTCAAGGATCATGGGACTTAGTAACTAGGGTTATAATTCAGGTAACTATACTTATAGCTACTTATAACCCTAGTTAAGGCACCTATAACCATACTTACTAAGTCCCATGATCCTTCAAGTACCGAACTTCGCTGGCCCGGTTGCGAGCCGTAAGAGACACACATTGAAGGGATCTTTGCTGCTGGCTTCTCGGATAGCGCGGTCCAAACGTCGCAAGGCTGGCCAGAGGTCAAGGCTCCGGCTAGGCGGCGATGAGAAAGTCGAACAAGTTGGCACCATAGCACGAACGGACCCTGCGCCCTCCTTGCTGCAGCTTCTCGGCCGTTTTGCTGCTTGTGCAGTGTAATGCATTGCGGCATGCATGTATTTCTGCCGTGGCCACAGCTTTTGCGACGCGGTTTGCATGTACCTCGCCGGGACCTCGTTGTCTGCGGTGTGTTCCGAAAAGAAGACGGGACGTGCAGGCCTGATCCCAGTAGAGAATAAATGCAAGTGGATTGCGCACGAGTCTATACCTGTAGATGTACATAAGTAGTAGATAGGCAGATGCGCAGATAGGTCCGATAGGTAGGACGCATCAACATACGCATAACAAATCTAAAAAACCTGACCATAAACCAGTTTGACCCTAAGGATCCACCCTGAATGCGGCGCGATGCGGGATGTGTGTTGCCTGCGTCAGTGGAAATACTTGGAGATTCAAGGGTAGTTATTAGCGGGATTGTAAGTAGGGTAAGTATACTTATAACCCAAATTGGGGGATTTATAACTACCATTATAACTACCCATGAACATGAACCTCCAAGTAGTCCCTACACCCTATACCCTTATAGAATCCCTATAGATCCCTGTAAAAGGACCCAAAAAGGATTTGGGGTTTTAGGGTTTAGGTTCTTAGGATTTTAGGGTTTTGGGTTTTTAGGATTTTAGGGTCATTAGGATTTTAGGGTTTAGGGGTTTTTTTTAAAGTTGAACTGCACCCTTTCTCTAGGGTTTAGGGTTTAAGGTTTTGGACTACTCACATTCGTCTTCCCGAGAAGTAGCTGCTGTCATCGTACTCCAGCCAGTACTCGAAGGGATTGTTGTTGACCTGAAGCAGGCTGATAAAGGCTTGATGATGACTACGATGCATGTGAAGATGCCAAGACAAGCAAGCAAGTGTTAAAACGATGATAAAGCATGCTGAGCGAATCAGGGAAGATCGTCGAGTGCAAGTTGGTTTAGTTCGGGTGAAGCTTTAGGAGAGAGAGTCTTTCCGAAAATATTTCCAGATTAACGCCCGCCGGCCATGTACCATCCGCATCTGCCTCTTACATCCTGTTGCCTAGCAGCCTAGCAACTCACGGAGGAGACGCCACAGAAACTCTTGGGATGCAACATGCAGCAGCAACGACGGCCAGGAAAACGATAACTACGGCATCGACAGTCACGGACATGTTGCCGAGATGATCATGAAGATCATTTGCATTGGAATGAGGATGAGGAGGAGGATGAGAAGGACGATGATGATGCTGATAAAGCTGACGAAGATGAAGATGCTGATAAATGATGGCGATGACGGTGATGCCGATCGCAAACTGCACAAGCACATATGAATGTGAACGATAACAATGAGACATATAGGGTTTTCCTTACACGCTAAGAGATTGCAGGGCATGGATTCAGAGCTTGTCGAGCCAAAACAGCAGCCTCAGCCTCATCGCACACGGTGAAACTCATGGCCTCCCAGCCCAAGCCCTGCAAACAGTTCTACTGTAGGGGCTTTAGTAACTAGAATAGGGTTTTGGGGCCCGCTATAGTAGAACTGTAATAAGGAACACCCAAAATAGTACAGGCAATTATGAAGGCCCCTATTATTATCCACAACAAATACCATAGGAAGAACTAGGGTTTAGAGGTGTATAGGACTGCGACCAGCTACAGTTCTCAGAAGTAAATTCAAAGCGCGAAACCTGAAACCCTAATTTCAGATGGGGGTCAGCAGCCACGTTCCACGTCATGACACTGATCGTGCCGGGACCTGGGACAACCCAGACACTCCAAAATCATCAAAGGCCCCTAACTCAGGTCCTGAGTAATTGAAACAAGGTTTTGGCGTACTTTAAGCCGAAGTATGCATGGCAAACAGCCTCGCACTGGCGCTCTCTCACAGTCTACGAAACTCATCTTCACGATGGTCGGTTCTCAACTTCAGCGGTCCGTCGTTGAGAGGCCAATATATTAAGCATCTCGATATCTAAGGCAAAAGTTCGGCTGACTTGCGTTCTGAATCTTCCATCTGCATGTACACACATGCTGCAAAACCATATACATCCATATGCTGTCCGCCACAACGACTTGCCACCGGTGATGTGGCCCCCTTGTTCACTTGTGGTGCTTTTGTGCTAAAACAATGCTCAGAAATGCAATCATTGACATCCTAACCTCCTAAACCCTCAACCCTAAACCCAAAGCCCTAAGCCCTAAAGCCTAAACCCTAAACCGTCCTAAACCCAAATATATTACCATTTTGACCTGCGCAAACCAAACTTCAGGCGGAGGTCACCAGCAGTTAGCTCTTGGGTTAATGTAGGGTTTTGGAGGTTTGGGTTTCGGGTTTAAGGCTTCGGGTTTAGGGTTTCGTGCTTAGGCTTTAGTGTTTAGGGCTTTGGGTTTAGGGTTTAGGGCTTAGGGTTTTGGAGCGCGCAGGTTCGATTTCGAGATGCAAAATTTGATGTTTGAGGTTGAGAGTTGAGCTTAACTAGGCTGCAACGGTCCGGTCCATGGCACCTTAGCCACGCTCAGAGCCCTTGAACACCCTTCATAGAGGGGGGGGGGTGGGTCGAAGTAACTAGTTAGTGACAACGAAGATCTCCACGAAGCACCATAAATCCCTGGTGCGAGCGGAGCTTATTTTCCACCTGCTCTCGCATCGGTGGCGTAAGTCTGCGTTTCGATCTGTTAGATCGAAGTAGATCTTCCGTACAGGAAGGATCGGAGTTTCTTTCTCTGGGAGGACCGACTGGTTCCCAGGCGGTTGTCGCAGATTGGAAGCAGAGGAAAATCGAAGATTAAAAGAGGTTCGAGGAGGGAGGGTGAAACAAAATTCTCAAGCTTTCGAAGCTTATGCCAAAATGGCCACGGAGTCTGCATAAGTTCGAAGGAATCGGTGCGTAAATCCCCAGACCGATTCGGTGTGATGGTGAGATATGAAGTTGTCACTTCGCACAAACAAGTGTGTGCTACACAACAATGTCTCGTACGAGTTCCTATACAGTTCCACCGTGATAGACCCGAAAACCCTAAGCAACTTGGCCATGACCCCGACAGTAAGCCCCTAGAAGCATGTTGCTAAGTTATGAGCCCTTAAAGGGAACTCCAGAAAGTTGGAATTTGGTTTCATGGTAGGATGCCCTATAATTTACCATAGAAGGGGTTAGGATAATCATATTCCAACTTTCTGGCTTTTACCTTAAACCTGTTCCGAATATTACTCAAGAACCTGCACTATGATCTTGTATCTGACCGCTATGCATAGGATTTTGGGGGAAGGGCCAAAAACAATGAGGACGCTGAGTGCAGGTTGCTTGGCAGCCCGAAACCTTTATCCGAAGACCCTGAGCCCGAACGGAACCCTGGGACTGAGGGTTGGCAAACAAAGGCCACATGAAAAAAACTAAACCCTAAAGCCCCTAAACCCTAAAGCCCCTAAACCCTAAAGCCCCTAAACCCTAAAGCCCCTAAACCCTAATTACGAACTCTTCAGGCCCCTCATTCAACCGAAGTTCTTAGCACTAACCTCTGACTTTTAGTGCTCTTCCCCAAAATCAAAACCCAGACCTAAGATCCCCCCAGGAAAATCCAAACACTAAATACTCCAAACCTAAGCCTAAGCCCTGTATCCCAAAGCCTGCAAGCCAAAACCCAGAACCCAATTCAGGGTGAAGGGCGACTGCGCAGGAGAGGCCCGCTGAAGAGCCAGCTGATGAAGTGCTGGTAGCTGATAATGGCCTGTGGTTCAGGGGCTCGCGGTTTTGTTCAGGGGTTTAGGTCCTAGGGCCCGTGGTTCAGGGGTTCAGAGGTTAGGGACCTGGCTTTGGGTTTACAGTTCTAGAGTGAACCCCAGAAAGTTGGAACATGGCTTTGGGAGTATTAATGCTAGAATCCCTTATACTTATACCCTACCTTAAGGGCATGAGAACAATGACGTTCCAACTTTCTGGCTTCTACTGTATGGTTTTCGGGTGTAGGAACAAGAGACTCGG